CCAGTTTGTCCACACAGCCTCTCATCACACCAGCAGCCTACTTCTCACCCTTAACTCAAAATTCATCCTGGTATTGCCAGTCTACAGCCAGAACTGGGCTTTCTTATCACCCCGGGTGTAAAATACTAGATTCTGATTGGTTAAGGCCCACAACAAGGGTAATGGTATAGAGCAATGCAAGGAACAACCAGATCACATACAAGTATGTCTTATTCCAGCTTGCACTAGTTGTTTCGGTGCATTTCTCTGATCAGAATTAAAAGTCTCATAACAGTTAGTTCAACCTCTTCAACACTGAGTCATTTGTGCACGTCATAGCAGCAGTTTCTCATTCCTTTCACTGAATTGCAAAGGCCCTTTGACATGCATCATTTGCTTTCATACCTGTTGTTGTATAACATTATCATCTACTTATGTCATGTCAGTCAAGATACTTATGAATGCTGAATAATCATTTCCTATAAAACTAATAGTGCACATTTCATTGCTTGAGTCATTACATACAAAAATGTTGAACTAGTTGTCAAAATCTGTCAGACAAATTTTACAGTTTTTCTCAGTCGCTTTGGTGCATTTCTCACATCATTCTTAACATTTGTTCAAAAGTTAGTTCAACATCTACAACATTGAGTCATTTGTGCACATCATAGCAGCAGTTTCTCATCTCCTGTCAAATTGCAAATGCTTTTGGACATGCATCAGTTGCTTTGATACAATTCTTACGTCAGTCAAAATGAGCTTGTGAATGCTTAATAGTCATTCACTACAAAACTAATAGTCCTCATTTCATTTCTTGAGTCATAACATACAAAAATGTTGAATAAGTTCTTAAACTCTGTCAATTTTTTTTTAAACATTTCTTTATCATTTTTTCCTGAAAATACTTCCTAAAATAAAAAGATACTCCCAGGTGAACCTCAACGTTCACTTGAGAGTTACCCTGTAAATTCAATTATTCAAACGTTTGGTAAAGAGAACAGGTGAGTCTATTGGACAGTAATTCAGCACTAAACAATCTGCTCTACTGTCATTGTGTTATACACAAAGCTCACAGTGGGACAAGAACTTGTCACATTTTACATTTAGACTTACAGCTTCACTGCGGCACAGCTTTACTGTATTGTAGTGTACAGAAGTGTTACAGTAAAGATTTGCCATATTTACAGTATAGTACTGGACTGCAGCATCTTACAAGTAGGAAGCACTGTTATTTTACACTATAGTAATATAGATTAATGCATTATGTCTCATGTTTACCATACATTACAGCAATTTTACTCTGCACCACACAGGATAAGTATTCAGTGTGATGTACTCATAGACTGTATATACTATTTCAAATTCAAATTTATTTTATTTGTATAGCACTTTTCATACATAGGAGTAGCACAAAGTGCTTTACAGAAAGATAAGATAAGAATAAATAAAAATAAAACCCCTCCCTCCCACGCCCACACACAGATACACGATCACTTACACACGCACACCCACCCACCCACCCACACACAAACATACACACACAGAACAGTGCTTGGTTGTTTTGCATTTTGTCATGGCTTTGTACCGAGGGTCCCTGTGAAGAAGAACGCATGAGGAGACACTGGAGCTAGGAACTAAAAGATTAAAACACATAAAATAATGTTTTAAATAAAATCAGTTAAATGCTAGGAACTAAAAGATTAAAACAACGGGCGGACTCTGGCTATATTCTTGAGATGGTAAAAACCTATCTTCGTGATGTTCTTAATGTGGGGAATAAAAGTGAGCTCAGAGTCAAGAATAATGCCCAGGTTCTTAGCACATTGTGAGGGTTTAAAATCTTGTAGTTTTGGTAAAAGTTTCTCTCTCAGGCCTTCAGGACCAATGACTAAAACCTCTGTTTTATTCTGGTTGAGTTGGAGGAAATTATCTGCCATCCATGACTTAATATCTGAAATGCAGTTAAAAAGGGCATCAACTGGCCCTGTGTCATCAGGAGACACAGCAATGTACAACTGCAAATGTATCATCAGCGTAACTGTGGAAACTGATGCCGTGCCTCCTGATGACATCCCCCAAAGGAAGTGTGTAAAGATTAAAAAGAAGTGGGCCTAAAATTGACCCTCGGGGGACCCCACACTTAATTTTATGTGTTCTGGAGGAACATGTATCCATATTTACAAAGAAAGATCGATCCATGAGATAGGAGTGGAACCACTTAAAAACGGTACCAGAGAGGCCAACCAAATGCTTCAGTCTGTTTAATAAAATGTGATGCTCTACGGTATCAAAAGCAGCACTAAGATCCAGTAAGACCAAGACTGTTAGTTTTTTGGTATCTAAATTACATCTGGTGTCATTTAAAATCTTCAAAAGAGCCGTCTCGGTGCTGTGGTTCATCCTAAAGCCAGATTGAAATCTCTCAGAAATATTATTTTTAGTTAAAAAATAATTCACTTGGTTAAAAACTACCTTTTCTAAGATTTTACTTAAAAATGGTAGATTAGATACAGGCCTGTAGTTGTTAAAAACATTGTGGTCTAGATTGCTCTTCTTCAGAAGGGGCTTCACCACCGCCATTTTATAGGCAGTGGGGACGACACCCGTCTGAAGAGAGCAATTCACCATATTTAAAATCTGTTCCTCGAAGAATTCATAAAATGTCCTTAAAAGCGATGTGGGAATTGGATCTAAAAGGCAGGTTGTGGGGTTTACCTGGGAGAATACTCGACCAAGGGCCTTCGCATCAACCAGACTAAAACTCTCCAGTGTGTCCATGGGTAAAAGCAGTGATCCAGGTGTATTAAGAACAGCATTCTGATGAGATAAAACACTGGATCTGATGGTATCAATCTTGCTTCTGAAGTGGTCTGCAAAGTCCTCACAGAGGGTCACTGTAGGTGTCATGGACACATTAGAATCGGTGCTGGTTAAAAGATTAAAAGTGGAAAAGAGAAACCTCGGGTTGTTTTTATTGTCAGTAATGAGTTTTGAAAAATGATTTCTTCTGGACAATTTCATTGCGTTATTGTAGGTTTTTAGTTGATCCCGGTATATTTCATAGTGGACTGTTAATTTTTCTCCACCTTCTCTCTGCACTCCTGCATTTTCTCTTCAGTTGCTTGATGTTGCCATCTCTCCACAGTTGTGTTTTCTTAGTTCTTACAGTTTTAGTTAAAAGTGGAGCCACTGCATCTAGTGATGTCTTTAATTTGTTGTTAAAATCATCAACAATAAAATCACAAGGTGCAGGTGAAATTTCAGCAGGAGTCTTCTGTAAAATCTCTATAAAATTTGCAGCCACTTCAGAAGTAAGGAAGCGTTTCCTCACCGTTCTCACTGAGGCCTCTCGATGGCTAAAACTGGTGATATTAAAAAACACGCAGTAGTGGTCAGACACCGCTAGGTCAACAACAGAGGACACACCAGTGGACAGGCCATAACTTATGACCAGGTCCAGAGTGTGTCCTCTGTTGTGAGTTGGCTGGGCAATGTGTTGGTTAAAATCCATGCAATTTAAAATATTTAAAAATTCTCTGGACATTGCGTCCGACCTGTTGTCAACATGTAAGTTAAAATCACCAGCTATTAAAATCCTGTTATAGGTAGAGTGTATGACTGAGAGAAGTTCTGAAAATTCACTGATAAAAACCTTGGGATGACGAGGTGGCCTATAGATAGTAATACATAGTATAGGGGGACTGCTAAAAACAAATGCATTGTATTCAAATGATGTATAAATGTTAAAAGAAATTTCATAAGAATTAAGAGATTTCAAGATAAAAGATGCAGTCCCGCCTCCCCTGCCTTCCGTGGTAGAAAATAAAAAGTTAAAATCAGGTGGACAGGCCTCAGAGAGGGAAACCCCTGCCTCAGTACCAAGCCATGTTTCTGTCAGCAATAAAATATCAAGTTTGCTTTCTATAATTAGATCATTCATTATAAAAAGAGAGCGCATGTTTAGCATGGCCAAATTAATGACCCCACCGGATAAGCGCACTTCGCTGTCGCCGCAAGTCCGGGGCCCCGAGCAGTCCCTTAGAGCCACCCGGGGCCGTGGACCCGCAGAGGCGGGCTTGTATTGATGGGAGTGATGACATGAACTGATGTGTACTGGGATGGGATATTGAACAGTGTGGTTGTGGATGTGAACAGTAGGTCCATAGGGGGCAGTGTTGAGTGAAGCAGCACTGGGCGCTGCCACAGAAGGTGAAGGTGAAGAGGTGTGGAAGGGGGTGTGTGGGGTAAACAATAGTCAGTCACGTGTGGCAGATTGCACCGAGTGCTGCAAATTAGCAGCGAGCATAGTGCTGCCTAATTTGTTTGGGTGCACTCCATCTGGCCTGTATGCGGAGTAGAGATTCCAAAATAGATTAAAATTGTCGTTAAACCAACCTCATAGTCTCTGCAGGCGGAAAGCAGCCAGGTGTTGAGGCTGAGCAGACGGCTGAACCGCTCTGCTCCCTGGGCCAGTGTCGGGATTGGGCTGGAGATGAAGACGTGGTGCGCAGGAGCCTGAGCAGGTCTCTAAAATCAATTTTTAAGAGCTCGGACTGCTTGCGAGCAGTGTCATTGCATCCCACATGGGCAACAACCTTGCTGACTGTACCGGGCAGGGAGCGCAAGAGCCCCAGGAGTTCGTTTAAAATGACCGGTACAGTAGCACCTGGGAGGCAGCGAGTGACGGCGTTAAAAAAGCGCATGCTTAATTGTGGAGTCACCCACAATTAAGGTGGTGGTGGTGGTGGGGGGGGGGGATGTGGAGAGGATGTGGAGGCGCTGGTGTTACCTTGATCCCATCGGGCTGGGACCGGGTTTCCTCCAGATGTTGCTGCTGCTCAGGGGCAGCACGGTGAGAGGATGCCTGAGAGTGCCGGCGCGCCGCTTTCCTGATCGGCCTCCGCCACGCTGACGAGTGGCGCTTCCAGCGGTTGGAGGTTGACATCTTGGATTTTGGGGCCGCCATCTTGGAATTTTGCATGGCTAACGTTATTTTCAAGAGTACCCAACTGCAGCGCAAAGATGGTGGACCCAAAAGATGAACAAACGCAATGAACAAACGCAATGAATTTCCGCATTACCTCCGATTGGCGGACCCAAAACATGAACTTCCGCTTTGCGATGCCAGAACAGTAGGTGGCGGTATGCACCTAAACTTTCTGACGGCAAAATTTACAGAAGAAGAAGAACTCTCAGGAAGTTTGAAAAGAAGCAAGCCGTCCGCATTCATTCAATCTCACCTCCGACCCACTCAAACTAACCCTAACCCTGCATTCCATTGTTTCCATCATGGGAAATCTAAGTGACGCTCTCAAATTAACAGGAACATTGCGCAGAAGATATGGCCTGGGCAATGGACTGAGAAAACGGGCAGAGATTTGGAGGTATTTGTGCATGCTCTATATTACAGTTGAAAAGTGTATAACAGCTTTCCAATGCTGTTACTTGTGGCGAACACCTTTTTGCTTGAGTTGATGCGTGCCCGCAGGTGGAATAATGTCACATGTCACACCGTCCATATTTTCTGTTGTTTTGATTTATTTACTCATTCATCATTTTATGTAAGACAAAGACACAAGACCACTTCACACGGTCAAAAAACTGTTCGGCTTCCCAGGTGTGCGCACCTGTCCTAATCAACCCACCCATTAAATAGACAGGCACAATAGCACCATCTGCTGGCACAAAAAATACATAACAATAAACTGCAAAACCCCAATCTGGCTCCTACAAAGTCTATGTGACAAGATGATTAACGTTTGCTTTTGTTAAATCAGGGCTTCCCCAGCCAGGACTTCGGCTCAGACTGTGGCATATTCATGTTGATGGTAGGTCATAACGAGCTGTAATGCACAAATATTGTATCTAGAATAACTTTCCAATATGGACTTTTTTAAAGTTATCTCACATGTTGTCTCATAATTTTTTTTTTTAAAGTCTGCCATGTACATCGTTATGGAGTCACAGTTTGACTACTCAGTTGTAAGTACTTTTCAACACGCAGTGTCATCCTCAAGATTGTATTTTGTATTGTGCACTAAAATGAAATACAAACAACAATTTCAGCATGACATGCCTGTTTTGCGGCGATGGTGGTGCCTGTTGCTCCTGGAGAACAATTCTTTGAACAGGTAGACAGTTTAAGTAAACTAGATGTCCTAATTAACTGGAAGACAATCAATATATTGTACTTAAAGATATATTGTCATTACAGTTGTGGGAAAATCTTCGCCCACTGGACCAAAGAATGTCAAGAGCTCATTGCTGGAAAGCATACTCCGGTCTTCAGTCTAAAGAGGAAGGCGGAGCAGCAGGACATAGAGGTTAGAAAATTGCCTTGTAAAAACAGTATTATCTCAGTGGGAGTCCTTCAAAATGCACACAGTTGTATGGATCAACATTGTCTCGATGTATTTGGTAATTGATGTTACTTTTCAAATTGCCTTGTCAAGGAAACCATGACGCAGACGGCATCGGATGTCCAAAGAATGTGCATGGCAGATTCAATGCAATTCTGTGTCTACCAGACATCGAACAACACAGGAGAGAGGTGTGTTGCAGACTCAATTTAATAAATGCAATTATCGGGGCCTATTCAGTGATTTTCCATGAAGTGACCACTTTTACATATAGTTTAAATGCACGAATCATGCAGGAAAATTATTTATACATTCAAATGTGCTGTAGAGGTATAATCAATTGGACAGTGTGTTTGTTTGATATTATGTTTGTCTCTCATTTGATCAGATTGCTTTACCCTGAGGTAAAATTGATCAAATGGGTCCAGTGCAAGACGTGCAGGGGCTGGCTGCATTGTGACTGACATGGAGCCGTTTGGCTGCGAGGACTCCATTGAGCATCCTCGGTATAACATAATTTATCAAGGAAACATAGTATCAGTCAAAAATACGAGGCTCAAAGGATGAAAAAATGAGGGCTTGCTCTTTTTCTTATTTCTCTGCAGGATCAAGGATGCTGTTGACAGTGGAGGAATTCATGCTGTCTTTTCTAAGACACAGATCAAGGTTGCTTTTGAATACACTTTCAGTTGTTAAAGCCACCGTTTCTTTTTCAGATGATTACATTTTTGTCTCTTGCTCTTTGGTTTCAGACATTACACGATGATCTACTGTCTGGAAAGATCCGCTCCAACAGGATGTTTCTTTGGAGGAATCCCGCCACCTCACTCCGGCTAAAGCAGCATCTAAAGATAAGGTCACTAAGTTGGAGTGAGCAGCGCGTAAGTAAAAATGCCATCCATCATGAGTATTTTTACTCTCAGAGGTGTTACATTTGAAAGCTGTTTACTTTCTGTGTTTTTCTTCAATAGATGTTCGAGCTCCTGCGGTTTATTGAGGAGGCAACAACCATATCGGAAAAAATCAAAAGAGGCGAGACTCACCTGCTTGATTTTGTCTTTGATGTCATGCTCCCAGAGGTGAGTAGATCAAACTATATAGCTTGCTTTGAAAATTGATGATATTGTTAAGAGGTTGTTCTTATTCATTTGGAAAGCTCAAGAACAACAATTAACCCATACTGCATAACTTCAATTGTTCACATTATTTGACTGTTTTTCAGCTTTTGATCAAAGCACTGAAGGAGCATGGCATCAACCGGTTCAGAGCAGAGCAGATGATGGCCTGTGGCAACGTGTTTTAAGCCCCCCACCACACCGACGGCAACGCTCTAAATTATGTATATACGATTATATTTTTTTTTACTGTTCACAATTTATTTTTTGGAAAATATTAAAGAAATCTTTGAAGCAGTTGTATGACAATTTCCCATTTCTTTACACAGTCTGTAATGATATCGCAATTCAATTGTTTTTGCTATATGACTCTTCTGAACCTTAAACAGATCATGTGACTTGTGTCTCTACAATTATTGTATACTTGGATTTTGCACAGTCAAGCAATCCTGAAGAGGCTCACCAGGAAGCACACCATTTCATAAATCATGTCCCTGGTTACACAATGTTACTAAAGGATGGGGGGAAAAATATGTGCAGCAACGTAAGCACTCTCATAAAACATAATTATGAACAACAGAAAATATGTGAGGGTCAGGGCAACATTGTTGACATTAAACAAGGTCCTAATAGATTCACAGTGGAGGATACATCACACACACACACACCTGCTAATAGGAGAAACAAGGTCACAGAGAAGTTAAGAAACATTGATGTGCTGTGTAATAAAGCTATTGGAGAGAGAAGTTAGAAAACACTCTTATATGATGTGTAACAAGAGGTTAAAACAGTCCATACTTGTAGCAAACTCTTACATAAGAATTTGAGTAAGATGATAACTTCTATATACATTTATACCTATTCTGACAAATTATCAGAATATGAGGACATCAGTCTATATATACATATTACTGTAAACTTCAGAATTAAATCAGAACGAAACAGTAGTCATAATTAAGACATAAACGTTTTATTTAGATTTTTAGCTCAATAATAAATTCAATTCGATTCTTATGGAATGAACGGAGCGAGAAAAAAAAAAAAAAAGGATCCGGCGACTAAATCCGACCACCGGAAGTCCCTTCTGACAAAAAAATCGATCATTGGAATAACCTTCCCACATGTTGTTTCTTTATTTAGCTGGACAAATTAATTCCGTTAGAAACGTACCGCATGGATGTGACCAAAAAACAAACTTTTGGCGATATATTTCGGCGCCGGAAGTCCGCCAACGAGACAGCCTATCCACCGGAATTAATTCTTTTGGGTCCGCCAATCGGAGGTAATGCAGAAATTCATTGCGTTTGTTCATTGCGTTTGTTCATCTTTTGGGTCCGCCATCTTTGCGCTGCAGTTGGGTCCCTCTCGTTATTTTTGAAAAGAGTGGGGTTTGAAGAGTATATGTACCAAATTTCATGCTTGTATAACAAAATGAACGATTATTTCCTTATCTGCTCAGCTATAATGTAAATATTATTGTTCATTTTATTGAGATTCTTTTAGTTTTTTATTCAAAAATTTTGGTTATTATCTTTTTTATATGTCTTATAATGTTCTCATGGCTGATACTGAGACCTCAGTACCTGTTCTGTTCTTTTGTTTTGCAGACTGGAATGACAAACAAAACTCATTTCAATCCTTTGAATATATCGCCAATGTTTGGAAGGGATTTAAAACAATAAAAACTTGAAAGTGAACAACAATGCTATCAACCACATCATCTGGGGGTCCATAATTTTTAGCTGCTTATGAATGAATCATTTTTAAAGTTTCTATGAGAAACTTTCTGTATAAGTATCATCAGAGACAAAAACGTATCCTGCTACACTTTGACTGTCAGAGTTCAAATACTGAATGTGTCAGATGTAAAAAAAAAAAAAAAAAAAGGCTTTTTCTGCTGCTGCTTACAAACTACAGCATTATAATCACCTCTCGTCGCTGATTGTCTTGTTTGCTTTTAATAGATATTAAAGGTGTCAATATGAATTTCAGTGAATTTTATAAACATCAAAAAGCTCTTCACAGAAGCTTTAAATCTATATAATCATCTTGTAATCAATATGTAGGGTTGACTTAATTGTATATTTAGTTTTTGGTAATAGGTGGGAAAATGTATGGTGAAAAGGTGATTATGGAAGGTAAAAGGCATGTGAGTTGAGACCCCTCTGCTTACAACATCAGAGTTTAGGTCATCCTGTTAGGATTATAGTTCACATCACTGCAGGCTCCCTATAAATGATCTCAAAGATTATGCAACCTTAGGTAGGCCTAAAATTTACCTCCAGTTTCAGCTTTTTCTGCTATAATACATTTGATTAACATAAAACAGAGCCCAGTGTGAATAAATTAACACTAGCAAGGGGTTTTCTGTGTTTAGCTGTTTTCTCCACATTTTTATTGAACTACTTTTATTTCAAAACCGCTCAATCTTTTACAGTTTTGTGTAATGTCTGCCTGTGCTTCCATCCAGCTCCAGCTTTTGTATCAAGAGCAGATTGTCCTGAAACTGCTGTTCTGTTGCTTTGTCCAGTGTTCAGTGTGTCTTGACTCATGTGCATGTGTGTGTGTGTCCACATGTCCTTTTATACAACAGCCTGTGGGGTTTTATCCATTTACCTCCCTACTCTTACGAGAGACCAGAAACTTTTCTGGCATGTATGATGCCCCTCACTTTCTCTTTGTCAGTGCATCTCACTAATAGAAAAAAGCTGACAGAAAGGAGCTTTTCCCTGCCCAATCCTCTTTAACAATACAACACAATAAACTAAACCAAATAAACATTTATGTCTCTAAAACTGGTCAAGTCAGGTCAGGAAAAGGTTACCCACCAGACAAATTCAGAAACCAATAAAAAAAAGAGTTAACACAATTATAACTGTACAACTATAAGGTGGAAGTAAGAGTTGTAATCTTAATTCTCAATCTAAGACTCATTCCTCTGCATTTTGGAAAGGGTTTCAAAGTCTGGGACAGGGACAATATATTAGTAAATGGCTCAGCTCATGTGAGATTCAATTATCTATCCCCATGTAGAGCAGGTAATGTGATTATCCTCTGCTGCTTCCTGTAGAGAGGAAAGGAAGGCATGAGTCAAAACTGAAGCAGGGGTGTACAAAATATATGTCTGCAAAACATCCAAATGACTTTAAACATTTTCTCTCTTTTTCAATTTTTTTGTTTCATTCGTTTTTATGTCACTTTCAGAGCAGTCTCCAGTGTGTCAGTTATTAATTATAAAATCTAATTAATTAATTATAAAATAATTAATTATTGCTAAAATCTATGTAATTTTACATTGATCACTGCTGCACATTTAATTCATACATGACAGCAGTCTAAATGGAGCATCTTAAGTTGTGCACTGGCCTCTTACTCCCAACAGACTTGGAAACATTTTCTGGCAGATGTTTTAGGGCAGTTACATAATAGGAGAAAACATTAAGAAATCACAAATATCCTTTTTTTCCACCTTACTGTTGATGTACTGCTGTGCCTTTAGAAAAGCATAAACAGGATGTAAAATCACTTGTATCTAAAAATGATCTATCTATCTATCTATCTATCTATCTATCTATCTATCTATCTATCTATCTATCTATCTATCTATCTATCTATCTATCTATCTATCTATCTATCTATCTATCTATCTATAGCTGTACTGTAATTAGTTTTTCGTGTGCCACTGGACTCACTTTTGCTTGTTAATTAATCAATTATTAATTGATTAGTGAATAAGTAATGTCTCTTCAATAAGTGATTGCTTAAGAGACCATGGGATCACCTTGGCATAACATACTGTGTTCTGTTGTGGTTGGCTTGTAAGAAGGGTTTGATGCAGACACACACACATACACACAAGCAAACTGAGTCAAACACGGCAATAACAGACAACAGCAAATATCCAGAGTTACAAGCTCCCGCTCCTCTTGATTCATGAGGGATGTAAAACTGGGGAAAATAATAAAATAACCAAGACTGCATTGGCCAACACACACACACACACACACACACACACACACACACACACACACACACACACACACACACACACACACACACACACACACACACACACACACGTCTACACATCCACACGGGCAACTGCTCATCTATCTCTGCCTCTTTGCCTGCCTCTCTGGGTTGCCTCAACAGCTGTGTGTGTGTATGTCCATGTTTGTTTGTATGTGTGTGTGTGTGTGTGTGTGTGTGTGTGTATGTTTGCGTGTTGGTGTGGTGACAGTGGATATTGGCAAGCCAAACCTGGATCCTATCATATGTCATCTTTAAATGACACTGTCATAAAGCATTACGGAGAGCAAAACGAGGACAGGGGCCCTGTCGGGGCTTTGTTAGTCAGATTAATGTTCCTGTCCTGTTAGCCTGTTAGCCAGCAGCTGGTATTACTTCTAATCAGAAACACATCCTGCCTGCTGCAACAGGTAGGTGATACACTGAAACACAGGTCGTAGGCTGAAACTACAGTTTTTCTTAATCACTTTGGTGCATTTCTCACATTACTATCAATATTTGCACAACAGTTAGTGCATATTTCAAAACAATGAGTAAAAACTGCAAAATCTGGTTGATAACCTGCAAAACCGTGTCACTTGTTTAAAACTTGTCAGTAGTATATACAGTCTATGAGAACAACACTCTAAATACTTATCCTGTGTGGTGTAGAGTAAAATTGCTGTAATGTACAGTAAATATGAGATATACTGTGTTAACCCATAATACTGTAGTGTATAATAACAGTGCTTTCCACTTGTAAGATGCTGCAGTACAATACTATACTGTAGATATGGCAAATCTTTACTGTAACACTTGTGTACACTACAATACAGTAAATCTGTGCTGCAGTGAAGCTGTAAGTCTGTAATGTAAAATGTAAAAAGTAACAAGTTCTTGTCCCTCTGTGAGCTTCACGTATAACACAATGACAGTAGAGCAGATTGTTTAGTGCTGAATTACTGTCCAGTAGACTCACCTGTTCTCCTTACCAAATGTTTGAATAATTAAATTTACAGGGTTACTCCCAACATTTTAAGCTATGATGAGGCTGTGATTGACAACCTGGTCCACAATTCTATCCAATCCAATCTGCTTTATTTAAATAGCACATTTTAAAAAACATTAAAGTTTACCAAAGTTCTGCACAGTAAAATTACAAGAACAAACACTGCAGAAAACATCCAGGGGAAATAAATAAAAACAGGTAAAATGAAATAAAATAAATGAAATAAAAACACAAAAGCATAAAAGAAATGAAAGTTATAAAAAGACCATATAAGACATAAAAGGACAGAGATCACACAACTCTCATGCTGATCTAAAAGCCAAGGAATAAAAATGAGTTTTAAGGCGTGATTTAATAGTAAAAAGAGTGGGGGATGTTTTAATCTCCAGTGGCAATTCGTTCCACAATTTGGGAGCCACAGCTGAGAAAGCTCAGTCACCACGGGGCTTTAGGAGTTGATCAGCAGACCTCAAGGAACGTGTGGGGGTATAAACATTTACAGTAACAGATGTACTGTGGTGCTGATACGTTTAAAGATTTGAAGACAAACAATACAATTTTAAAATGAATTCTAAAATGAATGGGAAGCCAATGGAGAGATGCCAGAATTTGAGTGATGTGATCATGTTTATGTTTACCTGTTAAAGACGAGCAGCAGCATTTTGGACAAACTGTAATTCTAGCCCTCATTTTATCAAGAATCCGCTAATGTACTCAACCCCTTCCTCTTCCCCTGTTTTGTCCCCTTCCCCTTCCTCACCCATCTTTCACTACACTGACCTTCCATTTCTGTGTCATGGTACTGTAGAAATGGTACACACTATGTCCTGCTCGGTTCATATATGCTAGCCAAGTGAGGCTTCATGGGATTCAGCTCTGAGTACTTTACGGTAGAGAAGTGTCTCATCAGTGGTCGCAACTAATGCTTCACACAGCCCTCCTCATCAGTGAAAGCTGAGGTTCACCTGAGAGAAATAGTTTATTTTAGGTCAGAGACATTTTCAGGAGAAAATGATAAAGAGATATTTAAAATTTGTCTGACAGATTTTGACAACTAGTATAATATTTTTGTATGTCATGACTCAAACAATGAAATGAGGAGGATAAGTTTTACAGGGAATGAATAATTAGTATTCATAAGTATAGTTATTTTGGCTGACATGACATAAACAGATAATAATATTATACAAGAGCAGATAGTCATTTGTGCACATCATAGCAGCAGTTTCTCATTTCTTCCTCCAAATTGCAAAGGCTTTTGGACATGCATCATTTGCTACATTTTACTGCTAAATTACCACCACAAAACCTTGCAATAGGACACAGCATGTAACAAGTAGTGCACAAAACCTGCAGCATCCTATCATTGCAGCGGTTTGCGAGGGAACGGTGCATTCTTCTAAACGTTCAGTGAACGAATCACTCACTGAGCCCAATTTACCGAGCAGACCTGATAAATAGCATACCATAAGACAGTACACTTGAAACATCATGACTCATAAACAAGTTCATTTTTACAAACCTGTTTGCCAAAATGACACAGCCAAACATTTGTGTCTCCCAGTCCCAGAAGCCGTGAATTGAACTGAATCCTGAACTGTTCAGCTGTGTATCAGTTCAGGAGGTCGGAGTCGCAGGCTTCTTCCACCAAGCGCTACATGGTTCAGTGATTTGGTGAACGAATCTTTTTAACGAGTCTTTCTAGTGATCTGTTTCTAGTGATACAGTACATCTAGAAGAACTCCCGTGCGCATCACTAGTAGGTAGCACTATAACAGCAGGTCATGTACAGTAGCCAACTGCTCATAATGGAGTGCTGTCAGCTGTCCTCACCATGTTCGATAAAGGCATGTAAAGTAAGACCCATGAGCTGTGTTAGACTTTGTATCAGTCTAGATTAGAGGCAACCAAAACCATCAAGCAGGGTTTCTTTATAAGTGTCTCAGACTGACTTGACCAGTTTTAGAGACATAAATGAATGATGAAATGAGAACATCTCCCATCTGTGTCCGCTATTAACCTATGTTACAACAAGTGTCCTTGGATAAATAGTGAAAACCGACAAACAGCTCACCTGTGTCAAAATCCACTTCTGAAGTATGAGGTTTTCAGGTTAGTAATAGAGATGACACAACTCATCTGAAACAGCAAACCATCATAATGACAATTCATTTTACTTATCTAGCTCATTGTACTCTTTTTTCTTTGTTTAACAACCCATTTATCTCCAATTATTGTGCTTTTATCAATTTACTAACTTTATTGTGACCTTTCTTGATTTTTTTAAATTTAGTTATTTTAGTTTTTAACGTGGTGAAACAAAAGCTGGCCCGCCTGCGAAGAGCAGAGCACATTCGCAGATGCAGAAAAAGAAGGGAGAAAGAACAAGCTAGCTTCAGGAAGAATCCCTACTGAACATCGAGGGAAAGGTCTTCTTCGCAGTCACCGCCAAGAGATGGACATCTTACCACACAGAAAATGGCTACATTGACACCAGCTGCCAGAAAGCAGGAGTGCCAGGTTTTCCTGGATGTGTTGAACATTCATCAATGACCTGGGGGCAGATCCAGAGGGCCAAACAGGAAAAAAGCAATCTCCACGGGGTGTGGCTTGACCTTGTAAACGCTTATGGATCCGTCCCTCACAAACTCATCCAGTTTGCATTGGAGTTCTTCTACATCCCTAAATCCATCAATAACCTGGTATGGACCTCAAGCTGTGTTTTAGCATCCAGGACTTCACATTGGGTGTTCCATCTCCCCAGTCCTTTTTGTGGCGGCCTTTGAGATCATCCTCCGGGGAGCTCACCAGACCGTGGAAGAAATAAAGCTGCAAACAGGACAGAGGCTTCCACCACTCCAAAGCTACATGGATGATCACTCTGGTTCTGCAGACAGCCCCCTGCACAAGAAGATGCCTGAAGTCGCTCGACGAGCTAGTGACGTGCATGAATGAAGATAAACCTTCTAAGTCACGAAGACTCTCCCTATGAAAAGGCACCAGGAACGACAACACCATCTTTGTAGCAGGAGGCAAGCAAATTCCGCTACCGGCCAACCAGCCCATCCAAAGCCTAGGGAGGCAGTATAAGGCAGATCTGTCAGACAAGCACGCAGGCAAGGCAGTACGGAAGCAACTCTCTGAAGACCTGGCTCGCATCAACAAAAGCCAGCTCCCCGGAAAATTCAAAGTGTGGTGCTACAACTTCACACTGTACCAACGGATAATGTGGCCACCGAAGATGTGTGAGATTCCGTCCTCAAAAGTCAACGGGTTGGACAGGCTAACCAACTCATACATCAGGAAATGGCTAGGCCTACTGCATTGCTTCTCAGACATAGGACTGTTTGGCGCAAAGTCACTGCAACTGCCCGTCCAGTCCATCACCCTGGGCTACAAGCAGGAGAAGGCCAGATTAGTCTTAAAGCTGAAAGAATCCTCAGATCCAACTGTAAGGAAGGCACTTGTCCCTACCCAAACAGGCCGGAAGTGGCAAGCAGGCCAAGAAGTCGCCAAAGCCATCAGCAGGCTCCAACACCAGGAGATAGTTGGCAGGGTGCAAGTAGGGGGAGTGGGGTTTGGCTGGGGAGAGTCTCCACGCCTCTGGTCCAAAGCTACAAAGAGGGAACGAAAGTTCCTCCTTCTACGAGGAACGGTCGTAGAAGAGGTGTCAAGGGCGGACAAGGAGCAGTACACCATCAAGGCCTTGTCGTAAGGTCACCAAGGAAGATGCACCCCGTGGGAAGGCACCATCAATAGATCTGTCAGCTGGGCCGATCATTGGAAAATGCCAAATGCGAGGCTCAGCTTTCTGCTCAGGGCAACCTACGACACCTTGCCACGCCCCAGAAACCTCCACCAGTGGTTTGGAAAAGAAGAGAGCTGTCCCCTCTGCTGTGCACCCAACGGCAGCCTGCAGCACCTGTTGTCAGGCTGCAAGACCGCACTGACACAGGATGTTACAGATGGCAACATGATCAAGTCCTGACAAAACTGGCCAGACAGCTGCAGACTAGATGCCAACAAGCCCACAGCCAGACAGTCATCTGTCAGGTTTGTCAGGCAAGGGGAGGACAAAGGAGACACCAGTTGACGAGGTCCCTGGAGTGTCCTAACTCAAGCCAGGGACTGGAGTATGAGACAAAACAGCTACAGTTCCCCCCGTGAGATTACCACCACATCACTCCGGCCAGACATCATGCTCTGGTCTGCTGCTGCCAAGTCTGCCATGCTCATAGAACTCACCATTCTATGGGAGGAGGGAATCCATGCTGCCTATGAGCGAAAAGCAACCAAGTACTCCGACCTGGCGGCAGAGTGCAGAGAGGCAGGCTGATACACCACCATCTACCATGTGGAAGTAGGTTGCCGGGGCTTTGTCAGCACATCGACAACAAGGCTGCTTTGTGATGTGGTAACAACTGGCGCTAAGCTCCGAAGAGAAACCTAGGCCCTTGGTGAAAAAGCAGAAAAGGGAAGCTTCTGGCTGTGGCTGAGGAGGAGAGATAAGAATTGGGGGTCAAGCCTATGAGATGGGTCGGCTGAAGGGGTGGGGCAGGGAGACGTCTCTGCCACCGCTCCACCACCAGGAGGCGTTCCAGGGTTAAAGAGAGTGAAACTCCAATGAGTGGTGGTCCCTGGCTGATGACCCTGCAGCTGGCCCAAAAGGCACTGTAGGAGGCGCGTCAGCAGGAACGACACCATACCTGTATAATTAATATGAACCCTGAACTGTGGCTCAGTGATAGAGTCGGTCATCTCTCAAAGGAAGGATTAGGAGTTTGATTCCATGGTCAACATGCTGAAGTGTCCTTGTTCAAGACACTGAACCCCAAACTGTCTTAGCCAGAGGTGTGGGAATCACAGTCGCCCTTGCCTTCAGTGTATAAATGTGGTGTGAATAGTTGATGAAGGATCTCCCCCAGTGGGAAGAAGATTGAGGGAAAAGGTCTATAATAACATTTTTCCAAGTGAAGATGGAATCAAATCTGGATTGACATCTCATGCTTGGACCAAACTTTTCTTCATTTTTTTCCATGTTGATGTAAGAGGATCACCACTGCAGCTGTCAGCTTTCCTCTTTTATCTCAGCCCTCATCTTTATTCTGCATCTCCCCTTAAACACTATCTGCTGCTGTGAGAAAGTAGATGTTCTGCAGCAGGGAGGCAAAAAGAGGACCTAAATCACAGGTGGAGACAAATGTGTGCACAAATGTGCACGCGCGCGCACACACACACACACACACACACAGAGAGAGAGAGGGAGATGGAAAGAGAGAGAGAGAGCCTTGTTTGTAAGCACTCTGCTGTATGTCTGTAATGTGGCTTCAAGGATACAGCTCCCTCCCCCACCCAACATTTACTGTGAGGCCAGACATTAACTAAATCAATCTGAAGGATCTCCCCGCTCCTCCAAACTATGCTGTAATATAATTGTGTATCGAAGGTTGTGTGGGCTCTGCTGATTATGTTGGCATTGCTGTGACGATAGTCAGGTCCTGTCAGCTCTTCTACAGGGAAGAAAGGGAATTCTTGGCAGCTGGGAGAGGAGGTTTAAAGTGGCAAGAAAGCTGGCTAATAGGGCGTTGTTACCTGCAGTTTTACATTACTTAATGTATTGGATTTAGTGGGACAGAAAGCTTAAATTATCCCCGGGGAGTTCTTTATTACAGCACAGATATTAGTGTAATGTTGAGCACTAAACTGTTTTTTTCTAGTTAAAACATGGTTTTGTTCATCCTAATCAGAGGACTAATTGTAAAATGTTGTTATTTTTAAAGAACTCTCAGTTGAAAACTTTCTACAGTTTCATAAAATCTTCATTCTCTCCTCTACTTTTTCCTTCTCCCCTTTCCTTGGGCCTATTAGAGCCTAATTGGAGCCAAGCTACTTACCACTGATGGGATCAATAGCAGAACCAGCAGTGGACACACACCATTTTCATTACTTACTGCAATTCAATATATAGACAGCCACTGCAGAGATCAATAAGTACCGTGGGATGAGAGCCTGCAGAAACTGCCAAAAGAAAGAGCTTCGGATGAAATATATGCACTAATGTGGATGAGTGATGGTGACCGAAACCAAAAACAGCAGAAAAACAAACCTGACATTTTGTTTTAAGTATAGTGAATTCCTGTCATTTATCAATGTAGAAAATTCACATGAAAACAGAGGCAATATAAGGATAAAGGAGGAGACTCTCTGTAAAATAGTGTGAGTTTGAAGTCTGAGTTTTCCAGTCATGAATAAGACTGTATGAAGCACAGGTAAGTGAGCATGCACTGTGTTTTCCAACATACACAAATACACCAGCTGCAGCCCCATGAAGCATGTTGTTGTCTTGGGTGGTCTTTTCTCTCAGTGTTACTGTGATAAGAAATCAATAACTGCAGTGTATCAGTCAAATATGTGCAAGAAAACTGTCAATCACATCAAAACATGAAATATCCTGGAACAGTGCTCCAGCGAAACCCAGTCCCACTATTGTTTCGGAACCTTTTATGCTGCAATCTGAAAAAAAAAAGTACAAACAGATTAGAGAAAATTGATTAGACCTCCCAAATAAGAACACCTGTGGTTTTTCCTCACAAAAAGTGCTTGATTGCTTTGTTGGAATGAGGCTAGACGAAAGCTGCATTAAAAAGTGTGTCTGTTCTGTTTCAGGCTCTTTCCCATCAAAGTGGAAAATAAAGGTTGTACCTCTGAAAATGTCCATTAAACCCCCCACTTCACTGAGCTGGCTCTGGCGTGTATCAGCCCCCAGTTATGCTGCTATAAACTTAGATGGATGGTAAACACACAGATATTTGCTTCATGTGTAAGGATTCATATGCTTTTAATGTTTCTCATGAACACTCATGCTCAAATCACCAATCTTATACATGTGACTGCAAATATGTAGTTTAGTTTGTTAACATTACTTATGCATCAATTCCTGCATGTGCTTGTCCCTGTTCCTCTGTCTCCCTGGGCCCACCTGATAACTTGGATGGCTGTCCCACATGAGTCTGGTTTGTTCAAGGTTTCTGCCTATAAAAGGATTTTTTTTTCTATTTACCATTGTTGCCAAGTGCTTGCGCTTAATAAATCAGCTTAATAAATCTTAAATCAGCAGTGTGTATGTGTGTGTGTGTTTGTGTGAGTGGTTGTGTGTTTGTACACCACTGTGTTATATATACATACACAACTTACCCACTCTCCTGCAGTCGCCGCTTGTTTGTAGGGAGAGCCCTGATGAGTCGATCACAGAGTGTGGTGGAGTTCCGCAGCTTAAGGAAGAACATTTATGATTATTACATCATGGAAATGCAATCAGACTGAGACGCTAAGGCAGAAGAACTACCACATCTGCAGTGCAAAATGATTAATATGGTGATTATTACTTCATGGAAATAATCTGCTGCACTCGGTGATCGACTCGTCAGGGCTCCCCCCACAAACAAGCGGCTGCTGGAAGAGAGTGGGTGAGTTGTTTTTAGTCTCTTTGCTTAAGAAATTAGGCAAAGCCAAAAAGATGTTTGATGGCTAGTGCTATGTCTGTGACCCTGTATGTACTGTTGATGAAGTTAGGTGCTGTTCTGAGCATTATTTGTGGCTATAGAGTGGCTTTGTGGTTGAGGTTTGTGCTTGGAGATGTAGACTGCTGTGTATTGCTATCATGCAGTCGTTACTAAAGTTGGTGTAACTAGAGAAGCAAGCGGTTGGCAACATTCATCTCTCGAGGGGGTGTCTAACTCAGTGTTACGGTTTGTTTGACCCTGAGTTAATTTTACACCGAAATATCCCTTTAAAATCTTTGAGAATTGATGAAGACAGATAACTTCAGCCCAGAAAAGGACTGTGCTGTTTTATCATTCAAGCATTAATAACATCTCAGAAAGGGGTCTACTTCCAATTTACACCATAAGCAGTCCGTTTCCATATTGTTTTTCTTTAGTTCAACTGTAGTGTGTATCTAGAGTTTTTTTTTTTGTACAAATTAATGGCCATAAAGGTAACAGAATGAAACCATTCAAAGGCATACAGTCATAAATCAGAGAAAAGCTTAAAGCTTTTCAGGAAACCAGAGGATATTATGTAGTCATGAAATTAAAGTGTGTAGTGTGAGTTCTGTTTACAGCACTTTTACTGCCTTCCTAGTCTTTTTTTTATTTTTAAAGAAATCCTTTTAGAGAGAATAAGTCATGAGCTGTGCTGCAGGGCTGAATGCATGTGCGAGCATGTGTACAAGTGTGTGTGTGTGTGCATGTATGTTTGTATGAAATTTACATGATACTGATGACGTTTGGGGAATTCGGTGGTATCAAACACAGAGGAAGCTTTAACAAGGACAAAGCTTGAGTCGTAGAGCCTGCGGGGAAGCACGAGGTCGGGGGTGATGAATATGAATCGAGAATATATACAGTAAATACAGATGAAGGGACACAGAGGGCTCACTCAGCCTTCTGGGGACTTGAAATCACTGGAATTAGGTGTTACACACATGATGAACAGAAAAATAATTATCCTTTTGATGGATTGTGAAGAGATTTTCAGGGTTTGTCATATATCAACCCTTACCCAATCAGTGTCAGTTGAATAAGGGGTAAACTATTTCTGGACCATTTGAAAGACTGTTTTTTGTGAAGGGATCAGACTTAAAAATCTTGATCAGTCAGACAAATTTCATGTCTGTCCCTGCAGGCACTGCAAGTTTCATTTGCACGGTAACATAACCAACTAATTTACCTCTGCACGTGCCTCCAAGTCCCAGTGACAGCTCAGTGATGGGGAGTGGTCCAGAGGCATGAAAGGTTCTGTATGTGATCCCCACAGGAGTTTTTACATGAATCAAATATAGGCCTCGCTACAGATCTCAACAGATCTATGTGGAAGTGTTTCTATATGCCGCATTACCTGGTGCAGAAGTTCTTAAACCCTTTAAAAACACAAACATAATTTTTTTGAATGTCAGAGTATGTAAGAGAAAGATTTGAAGGAGTGAGTAAAAAAACAGTGTACTCAATAGTTGCCGTGTTTTGATGCAGATACTGGTTCTAAGATGCAGAGACACTCAAATTAAATAAAAGTAGCTGAAGTTTGCTTTAATGCAATGTGGCTTGTCAGATTACTATTAATTTACTATTATGTCGAGTGATATACTTTGTGACACATTGGCAATCTTGCCGCTGCATCTGTGTGTCAAGGTCTCTCTCTCTCTCTCTCTACTTTTTGTTATGGTGTGCATTTGATCAAAATTTTTTTTTTTTTTAGAATATCAGAGCCAGATATTGCCTTCCCCTTCACTGGTCCTTTGCCATTCTTTTTTTGTTTGTTTGTTTTTACCTTGGTCACCCGAAGTTTTTGTTGTAAATTTGGTTTTGCTCTTTACAAAATGAAATAACTTCACATATGATTGAGTAATTTTTTAATACCCCCATTCATAATCAAAAACTCGTAAACTACTTGTTCCTCCATCTTTTTGAACCATATAGATAGATAGATAGATAGATAGATAGATACTGGAGTTACCATAAATACAAAGAAAAGATCCAGTTTCTCACAACGTTTGTTTTTTCTACTCTGGCAAATTTATTACTTTCATCAGCTTGGTCACGCTGGTGAAGTCATGCTGAGATGCAGGAAATGTGTGTGTGTGTGTGTGTTTGATTGACAGCACTGACAGGTTTGGCAGTTATACGATTCTGAGGTGGGCCGTTTGATTGATGCGTCCAAACAGGCGGCAACCCGATTAAACCCTCCACCAGTTGGTCTACACAAACACGTGCATGCAGACAAACGCACACACACACACACACACTGAAATAAATAAAAATGAAAGTGTGTGTGCTAAATCCCAGGCATGAATAAACATAAAACAATGTCTGTAAACTGAAGAAAAGACAGTACAATTTGTACACACCGATTGTGACTGTGCTGAATAGTTTAGTTTATTCAACTGACCTCACATACGGTTACAACTATACTCTTATAGACACTGCATGAATAAATAGATAGCTGTAATTTCACTGTTAACAAACACTATTTTCCATTCTGGATTTAAAATTAGACTCATTTGTTTTCTTTGCTTTTTTATATACACATATATCACACAAAAATACAGGATCATTGCAATTTACGACATAAAGACACAAACTTGTCAGACCGTGATCTGACATGAATTCTTTTCTGTGTGCATTCAGGTTTGTGAATGAACCAAAGCAACGACACACTCATCATGAGGCTCATCTGACAAGGAGGAAAATCAGCTTTTACACCCACATTCAAGTCCACTGAGGTTGCTTGACACTTTGCATAGCATCAGGCCAGTGGTCACTTAGTACGGGATGGAGCTCAGGTCAACAAAGAGGCAAATCATAAATCCCACAGCTGTATTGAGGAGAGGAGAGGGGTTCACACCTCAGCATATTTGGCTGCATAAAGGGATCAAGTACCCTTCACTTTGAAGAAAAATAAGGCCATTTTCCTACCAGAAAGGACAAGGCTTGTGTGATACTATAACATTTTTTAGTTCTTTGAAAAATTCAATTTCATAATTGAGTTGATTCGACCATCAGCTGTTTTCCAAGACAAAGCCTGACATAGCTCACTTTGGTCTAATATTAATATTGAACAGTATTCCAAAAGCCTTATCCTATTATTATAGACGATTACTAAAATAGTGGTCACCTGTCATAAGTGGTCCAAACTCAGACCTCTGCCACAGCTGACATTTGAATTAAGGCAAGTCTATAGATTCAAAAAGACATCAACAAACAGCTCAGGAAGGAGAGTGGATGACAGCAACACTTAACAATGTCATACCCTATAAAGTGACAACTGCTTCACTTCATTTTGTACAGAACAGCAGTTTAAATAGTAGTTTAAAACAGCCACAGTTAGAGATCTGGAAGGAGTGACACTTACTCTATGAGTAATGTTTGAAAGTTCATCTCTGTATATAACACATAGTGTAGGAGGAGTAACCTTTGAAAACCATATTCTCAACCCTCACTGCAGCATTAATCTAATGTCCTGAGGGCTAATCAACTGGGGACATGATCAATAACAGCCGGAGATTCTGACACCATGTTAGGAGGAGCAATCTTTTCCTGTCTCCGCTAACCCGCTGTGGCTGGCCAGTCAATACAGGTTTAGGGTGAGACACACACACACACACACACACACACACACACACACACACACACACACACACGAAATAAAACCACTTCTGGAAGATGGCATTGAAAGCACTGAACAGATCCTTTGGAAAAATGAAAACACTGATGGGAATCAAAGCTTACTGTTAACTGTTACTTTCCAGGTTACCTTTGAGTTTATATTATATATGACACATATAAACTTAAATGAACCAGTAAAATTAACATTGAATGTGCTTTTACTGTATTCAGTGGTTTACTAATTTGGTAATTCGGTTATAAATGCACATTATAAAGATGTACATTCCCTTTCATGACATATAAAAATAAATAGAAGGTGACCATGTTCCTCTATTAATGACTCGAATGAAGATCAGATTTCAGTCCTATTTTACAAGATCTCCTGACTGAAGGGTGTTTTTAGGTCCAGTGAAGCAGTTGGTGACTGATGTGAACAGTTTAAGGTTAGGGAGGATGTCAGCTGTTTACAAACTACTGAGTTACTAATGTGTTACTGTGTGTAAACCAAAAATTATAGTTTTGATTGATTTATTTTTAGATCTGTGTGAAGCGTTATTGCTGTATCTTACAGATGTTCTGTTTTTTTCATCTTGGTATTTGGTCCACTTTTGAACAAATTTGCTCTCTCTTCTTACATGAGCTTTTCTTTTAAGGATCAGGATACAGCCTGCAGACTACCTGGAAAGCACAGGACAATTAACCCCTTACAAACTGAAATATCCTCAAGAGTATAGACCTGCAGCTAAAAAGACTGTACATGCTGGACTATCAGGTTGATTTTGAGAACACATCACCTATTTTGGAATTACAACATGGGTACAGTCTAATTCGGTTTGATTGATTTCTTCAGGCTCACTAAGTGAAACTGACTGAGTTTGAGGACACAGATTAATGCCATTGTTTCGATGGTCAGCTTTTTAATCATGTTGAAATGTTGAAGCGGCTCTTTTTTAAATGCTGGCAGTGACTGTTAAAAAAAAAAAAGCTCTGACCAAACATACTTTGGCCTTCTGCAGAATCCTCCAATGTTTACACTTTGCCTTGGTTATTAGTGAGTATGACAGACAAACCGAGCAGACCACATAGAGAAACAAATAGGTGAGAAAGAAAATTCTGAATGATACTACACTACAAATTTATCTATGTTCACAACACTGGTCCTAAAAATATTATTGCTTTATTAATAAAATCACTCTATGTGAACAAAAAAGCTAAAGTTCTCTGGGGTATTCCCTTGATAACATTTGATCACTTATGTGCATGTTCATTATCACAGACAGACACCGGTGTAGACATGGACACTTGGTTAAATATCGCACTATTCTTTTGCCCTACAGCATACCTGTAGACGTCATCACATACTGTCTGTCCTTTGAAATCTCTGGCTGGTTTTGCCTGAAGTCTTTTTCCACACTGTAGCAGCAGTTCAATGAAGATGATTGTAGTTGTTGCAGAATCTCAGTCAAACTTAAAAAGAAGAATATGTACAGAAAGCTTGACAGAGCTGACCGATAGTCAGCCTCTTGGTTCTGAGCATGGGATGTTAAAGAAGAGTTGGCACCATGACATCAGCACAAAACAAACTTGTAGAGTCACTTGGACGCCGAAACCAATTTCTGTGGATTTGGCTTCCAGTGTGGCAGTAGCAAGTTTCCTGAAGAGTGTAAATGCCTCTTTGATTAATCCTTCTCCTTTGAGCTACTTGGTTTGAGTTTTCTCTGTGCCTTTGCTGCCTAGTCATCATTGTGAAAAGAATCTGGACTTGATGGCCCATCGTCACTAAGGATCTCAGTGTTGGTGAATGTCCCAGCGAGCGAAGGGCCCAAGGTCTGATTGACAGGCGCCATCTCTGAAAGAATGATGTTATCGTGGTTTCCCACCAGAGTAGTTTTGTCCATGATCTCCTTGCTATGCTTGGACACCACAGCATCCAAGAAGTCATACTTGTGTGACAGCATACCGCTTTCAAAAAGGTACTTTGTCAGGTATGAAAAGACCACATTTGCTAGGAAGGATGCCACCATAGAAACAGACTTGAAGGGGAACCTCTGCTGAATAAAGTGCTCTACGTCCCCAGTGAGGTGGTGGATCCTCTCCTGCTGTACCCAACCAGGAAAGAAGATGAAGGGGGGAAGCTTGAGGTAGGGCTCCCCTCCCCCGATGCGCAGCAACAAACCAAAGACGTAGCCAGCCACAGAGCCGTAGGTGTTAGTCCCCTTGACGAATAAAACACTGAGAAGCTGGGGAAAGATGATGACGTAGACCAAGTCTGAGCTGAGGTACCAGAGGCCATACACCGATCCTGTTAACAATGCCATAGCTGTGGCAAGAGCTCCAAATACAAAGATTGTGAAGCGCATCACCCAAACAATTTCTCTATCTGAAGCCTGGAGGAGAAAGGAGAACATGACAGGAAAGGATAGAAACACTTTGGTCACAAAAGGGGGGTATGACAAGAGAGGTCAAATGAAAACCAAAGATGAAAATCTACAGCTGAGCGTGTGGCTCTTATCTGTTTGAGGTTTTGTGTGCTGTAATACTATCTTTCCAGATGGGCTAGAAAAAAAGGTTTTCACAATTCTCTTCAGACTAGAAGGGCTCTATTTTCGTGCCTCGCCGGACACGTGCCGCAAGGCGTGCCTGACAAGGCGTTCCCAAGCACATTTTGGTATTTTGGTGAGCCGCGCAGCCCGGCATAAGTATCCCCCCTCCCTAACTCAGCTCCTCCCAGCAGCGTAAGTCGTAGCGAGGGAGGAGAGAGGGCGAAGAGTGGGTTTAACACAGCCGAGACCTGTTTTCACCAATCACATCAGCTCCTCTCCTCGCCTTTAAATCCGCCACAGGCGAGGCGTATTACAATTTTCATGAAATAGTCAAAGAGATCAAGAGATGTCTGAAGACAGTAATGCCACAAGATGGCGACAGAAGGCAGCTCCTCAACAAGTGTCACTGTAAGCGCTGCAGAGGGCGTCCTCCACACTCTCTCATATGAGCACAGATGGATTTGGTGTGTGTAATTTTGGACACACTGGTAAGACAAACACCCTTTTCCACAAATAAAGACACTCACATAAAGTTGCTCATATTCAAACCTCACGTGACAAAGGTGGGTTGTGTGCACAGATCACAACATAAACTCCAAAAATGGCATTAAAATTGGAACCATCTGTGCATAAATGACGCATCGCGCTCCGTGGCCTGGCTCTTTCTTTCATAGATGTTGGCATATAAAATAAATTTGGCTCACAAAACTGAATATTATAATATCCGTATGTCGGCTTAAAGTAAATAACTCATCTGAGCACTGAAACAAATCATCTGTTCAGCCGCAGCAGCAGGACGAGAAGAGGACACAGAGACGTGTCCAGGTCGAGCTGTGCGAGAAATAAGAGGAAGAGGAAGAAAGAAAAGGAGGGAGACGAATTACATATCTTGTTAACTTCATCATGTGTGTCTATTTACTAGATATTTAATTTAATTTAATGTGGTTTCAGCTGTGTTGATTCGTTCAGGTTGTGTGTCCAAACGCGTGCTAAACGCGCTCATCAGATCAGATATAGATCAGAATATATCTATATAGATCTAAATGTATGTGCTGACTCAGATTATTAGTTGTTGATGATTATTTATTGCACTGAAATGTTCCTGACACTGTGGAAACCTGCCTGTGAGGCATCGGTGACGTATGCTGATACGCCGCCGGTCTACCAAAATGCTACTAGACCAGCTGCGCTCCGCCTGCGCTGAAAGCTGACCAGGTTTGAATCGGCGAGCTTTCAGCGCACTTTACACGCCACTGGCGAGCACGAAAATGTCACTGCGCCCGCTGATTCTGTTGACACCTCCCCCTGCCACGCCACCACGCCCAGCTTGGCGGATCTCGGCTCGCCTCCGAGCGCCTCAGTCCACGAAAATACCAAACTGGCTTTACGCCGGGCTCCGCCAGACGAAAATACAACTGTGCGGAGTCCGCCACCCTCTGTCGCCTCACCGGCGCGCACGAAAATAGAGCCCTTAATGTCCATGACAGTTTCAAAGTCATCCATTCAGTTGGTTGGTTTTGAAAACTATCCGACACATTATCAATTTGTAACAATGGGTTAAAACTATGAAATGTGTGTTTGTATCGTTGGTAGCACTCTTACCGACTGCCGGAATGCAAGCTGATAGATGTTCCGAGCAAACATGGAGCTGGCTGAGAGAATGGATGAGTCTGCTGAGGACATGACAGCAGCTGACACTGCTCCTAGACCAAAGAAGGAGATGTAGGGTGGACAGAGGTGCTGAAGCACTATGGGAAGGATCATGTCTGATTGGTCTTTATCCTTTGGAGGAGGGGAGCCATAGCTGGTCTGGTTCCAGTCTGGAAGAGAAAAGGGGGATTACAGTCAAACCCTCAAAGCTCTTTTATATCACATGTCACATTCACCCATTTACACAACATTCACACACTGATGACAGAGGCTGATATGTGTACAGCCCATCAGTTTTTGACCAATTCCATTCACACACAACTGGGATCAGCCAGCAGGGGCAGGTGGGGTCAGGTGTCTTCAGTAAGGACACTTCAGAATGTGGACATCCTTGGAATTAAACCCCCAACTGACTCTGCCACTGAGCCATAGTGGGCCTGGCACTCTTTCCAATTTGGAGATGAATAAAATTGCATTTCTGGAGCACTAATGGAACGTTAAAAGGACTGGTTATTGCACATAACAGTTTTTGATTTGATCCATGGCTTTTTTGAAAGCCCCCTGCAGCTGCACATTTTAGTTACTGAGAAACAAAAGAGCTGCAGATGTTTGTACATTGGATTAAACAAAGATTAGCAGAGGCAAAGTCACAGCTATCAGAGGGAGCCAGAAACAATACTTATTAAAAATATGAGTGTGCACTTATTACTGACTATGGTTTATCCAATGGTTTAGGCCTGATTTGAAGTATGAGCCAGGGTTAGAAAATACATCATGTACTTTAATTGCATTTTAATGATACATCTGATTAATAGCCACTGAATCAATAATGACTGATTTCAGACCAAGCCAGTTAGTCTGATGAGAAGCACTTTAAGTTGGTCAAATGCCAAAGTTTGCATAGATTTGGATGTGTAATGCCCCTAAAAGACATGCTGAATACCTACAAGCCTTCCAAATAAAAGAGGCTTTTGAAAGTATTTGAAAACAGTGCTTAGCTAAATGAGCTCTTCTGTGACAATGATCTGAAACTAGTTTTAACTATGTTGTAAAACAGTCTTTTGTACTCAAACTCCAGCCATTCACCATCACCATGTTGTCCCAGTCTTCCCATTCATTGTGTGTCATTTCAGCTCTTATCCTTTTCCACATAAAACAGGATTACATCCGTCTTTCTTTTTTTCCCTTCCTTTTCTTCATCCTTTTAGCACAGATTCTCTCCATCCCCTGGGTATTCCCCTTTAGTGGTTGACTGGTGCCTGTTATACATGAAACAGCTTTGATGCAGATTAATTAGCTTCTCTTCAGATGTAATATTTAATAAATCGGCATGGTCCGATGGCTCTCTCTTCTGCTTGTCTTGACAGGATTTGTCTGATGTTGTTTACCCTGCAGATACTGTATGCATCTACATTTACACATCTGAAAAAACAAAGCTGCTGGTGGTTAAACAGGCCAGGAAGTCATTGTGCTCCCTTTTGATCACACGTTCCTGTTTGAATAACGGATCAGATTCCTGGATATTTCTGTTGTCTTATACTGATTAATGAATCAGTGTGTTTTCATGTATGCACAGATAACAGTGTGATATTTGTGCTCATCTGTGATGCAATAAGGCGTATTGTGTGTAGACACAAAATCTTGGCTGACATCTAAAGGTAATCATTTTACAACAATTTCTGTACATGAGATTTTCTTAACAGTCAGCCATAGATATTTGACCAGACAAAATCAATCCTCATCTTGTATTATTTTATCAGAGGAAAAGTTATTTTTCCAAAGAGTAGATTCTGGACAGAAAATTCAGAGGTCTGTCAATTTGATTTAAAGACCAGACTGTTTCCCATTAATCCCAGCAGTCCTGAATTTTAAGACTGAAAAAAACAAAAAAACAAACAAACAAACAAAACAAAAAAATCTAAAAAAGAACCACCCACATACAAATAAGTAAGTGCTGCACTCAGAAAATAATCTGTACTTTTTGTTGAGCTGTAGTGTGTGTGTGTGTGTGTGTGTGTGTGTGTGTGTGTGTGTGTGTGTGTGTGTGTGTGAATTTACCGGTGGAGGCCCCTATAGCTCCTATGAGGACAGAGGGCACGGCCATGACTAAGCAGCCGAAGGCAGCTAAGAAGGAAAGGACCTGTGCATAAGTTGCTGAAGAGGCAGAAAGGACCCGTTGAAAGTACACCTGCCAGGGAATCCCCCCCAAAATCTAGAAACCGAAACACTTCAGTCAATACAGACAATAAACTAATGCACAGAACTGCAAAAGTAACTATTACTACTACAGTACATTAGTATTTAAGATTTGGCGTGCAATGTGGAAATTCAACATGTATATTGCATTTTCTCCACAAAAATATTTGGTGTATTGATGGGTGGTCTGAAAAATGAATGGTTTACCAGCAAACAGAAGTTGTCCACCCAGAGCCACGTGTCTTCAGACTCAATCTTACCCAGCCAAGGTGACTGGTATACTTTTTCTTTGGCTGTGATACCAATGTCTGTCACGGCAGGATTGGAGAGGGCAAAAGGCACACTGATCCACTGTATGAGAGGAAATAATTAAAGGGTAAATGACACTGAAAATGCAAGAATCCATCTTTGTCTTATTTAATGATGATTATTAAATAAACCTTTCTGCAGAGAAAACTGCAAAATACAGTGATAGTAATGGAATCATTCTTACATGTATGTCCTGAACCTTAAATGATTTTAAAATATATGTGAGGTGCTAAAATTAATGTCAATTAATGTCAATGAGTCAGGTAAAACTCACCAAGCCCAGAAAGATACAGAAGAGCTGAACCACATCTGTGTATGCAACAGAGTAAAGTCCTCCGACAAGTGTGTAGAAGATAGCTATTAGAGCTGAGATCACCACTGACATGTTGATGTTAATGTCCACAATGACACTCAGAGTGGCACCTGTGGGACGACAGACCCGTAAAATCAGACACAATTATAATTTAGAACTTGAATAGAAGTGCATTTGCTGTGACAGCTTACTTTAAACAGTGTTGGTATAAAGAGATTAAGTTATTCTGTGTAAGGAAAACTTAAAGACTCACTCTGATAAAAATCACGTTTTTCTTATAGTCTACATGTTCATATGGCATTTTTCTGCTGCTACAAGACATATCATGTTAAAAGTAACTGCAAAATTGCATTTCTGAGTATTTCTGCATTTAAATCACGTTGAACCTTTCACAGACCCAAACGGCAGGTTCAGACACAATGAGATTTCCTACATCACAAATCCAAGCTCTGCCCCAGAGCCCCACTATGCAGGCCAGACTCGGGGAAGTAGAGAGGATGATTGTGGAACAAGCGTGTGATTTAGCAGATTGCAATGCTCATAAGAGAGCTAATTATGATATTAACTTTCATCATGTCCCCAAAGATATTAGTGTCTGAGAGCTGAATAGCTCCTATATTTCCTGTCACTTCTACCTAGTCACTTCTACAATGTTAGGCTGCAAGCCAGTGATTTTGGCCAAAACCTTCATAATCACAACTTAAAGACCACTGAGAACACTTTAAATAATGATTAAAAAAAACTATCAGAGTAGGACTTTAAACTTAAACTTGAATTTTCCTTCAGGGATCAATACAGTTCTTCTTATCTTAAACTCACCCAGGGCTGATAAAATGGCAGCTGACCAAAAGATTTCACCCATGAGAGCGGGGATGAAGAGCAGCCCCCCCATTCTTTCACCATACAGTTGCTGGAAGGGATCTAGCATGGTGACGTATCCACGGGAACGCATGGGTTTGGCAAAGAAAAGGCCACCTGAATGATGCCAAACAATAAGGTCAGGCAAACGATGTAAGAAAGAATTTATGGACATGTAATAAACAAACCACAGGTAAGTACAACTACAGAGAAAGACTGTGCTTATGTGGAATAAAATGACCCCTCAAAGCTTCTTTTTAATAAATAAGTTTTATTTCTACACAGATGTACTTGTGATACACAGATGTGTGTGACACTACAACACCAATCTATATAACAATAGGTCACTTGCAATTATCAACACATTATAATACAAGCAATTCAACAAATGGCCATAATCATTCAAACTGAGAGGAATCTCAAAGCTTTGTACCAGCAGTTTTTTTCTTCTCTCTAAAACAGACTTCCCTTTGACTGTAAAATGGAACTGATACTGCTTCTCACCTACTACCAGGCTGAGGGCATAACCAAAGGGAGCCTGTGCCCAAGCTAGACCATTGCCTGGGAGGTAGACATACTCTGCAGTCCCATTGATGTAGCCCCCTCCCACCCAAGTGGCTGGAAAACAAGAGAAAACAGGATAGTTTAACAAGGTATTTGTGTAACTGTAGTTTGGTTAATGCCATGTTGTTAATTCACAGGAGCCCGAAGTGTTTGTCTGTTTGGAGTGGAGATAAATTCACTAATTCTTATCCTGGAGAAGGTTATAGTGGTCACAGTGAAACAAAGCTCAAACTGAAAACGTGTACTGCGGAGGGACGCACCTGCATCAAAAAATAATACCATTAATTCATTAATGGTATTACATTAATTCAGGTGTCAGCTTGGACACAAAACATCAAACCGGTCTGGTCATTAGTTACTTTATTTTTGAATTTTCACAGGTTTGATAAACGTAATCTAAAAGATGGCACTAGTGTAAAATTGTGGGCGCAAAGCGGTCCGTGCGTAAAAGATGAAACTGACTTCTTCTGACCTCTGAAGCACGCAGTACAAGTTTATCAAACATAAAAAAAAAAAAAAAAACCTGATGAGCCTTAAAGATCAACTCACCGGTCATTGTGAATCCACCTACAAATAATCCAATGTCCCTTCCTCCGACCATGATACTCTCGCTTCGTTCTCCGCCATCTCCAACACCGGAGTTCTTATTCTTCCACGCTGCCCAGATTCCGACAAACAAAATAAGGACATAGAAAACCACGATAGCCACGAGACCCTCGGCGTGGATGGCCATCTTCCTTTCGTCCGGTTCCCCACCGAGATCAAGTGTTTATGCGCGCTGACGTCGGGAATCTCATGCAAAGAACTTTGAGGAGAAGAAGAAAAAATATCCAGTAATACAACATATCCAGTGGTATCCCTGGACATTGCTTGGCTTATATCTTAGAAACATTATGTTTCACCGAATCTGTCTTTTATTTCTCAACCTTTTATATCATATTTTTGACGCCTTAGACAGACAGGCAGACTGCCTAAAAGTGATCCAATACTTCGGTTGCAGGTTTCTGGCCGATTTACGCGAGGGGATTCATTTTCGGTTCAAGCATCGGGAATTTTTTCCTCCATTTCTTCAGCAAGACGCAAAGAAACCATCGAAATAATAAATAAAATATATGGTTCATTTAGCATATAATTTCCAACAGTAACTTTGTAATCTCTTTACAGTGATGTTAATTTACTCATTTTTTGATGAAATCCCTGCACCAAGCGCCGGCAACCGAAAGTACGCAAACATTCCATACACTCTCTTTCACTGACGGATTTTTTTTTGTCATATAAGTAAAAAATCCACCTAATGCTGGAAGACTGTTTGATTTAAGCAACAGGCAATTCATAAGAACAAATTACCCATTAAGAAAACAAATCCAATTTTGGTGGACGAGCCAAAGCGATAAAGCATGGCCATAACTTACCATGCGCAACGGGCACTCACTGCAAAAGGCGGCTGGAAAACCGGCACTCCATCATGTGTCATGAATCAGAAACTTCCATAACCAGAAATGATGGTAGTCTTGTAATCAGAAAAACTGTCCAATAATCAACGTTACCGTCTTTCGAGTCTTTATGGCATTTTAAGATGTTTTACGCACGCACGGTTGCAACAATATAATAAAGCCAAGACAAAGGTGGTAGTGATTTGATGCGCCAGGACACTAACACAACACCTGTTATTTTTTATTTTGCTCAAAATGTGTTCGGGCTGCTCTGTGGCTCAAAATGTTTTAAAAATTTTGGACCGACATTTTTTTTCGTGCTGTGCTGTCGCGCGTAAAAATCCATGATTGCGTCCCAATCTTGACGCAGCGTGAAAAAGTGCCAACTGTTAACTTTCAAAACCCAAAACGTACGCAAAGGTTTGGCATCCGATGTGCTGCATCACTGGATAAAACATTTGGGTTTCAGCTCCCTGTCGCGCTGACACATGGTTCCAGAAAGCCTGTATTGTATTATTGATCACCCGTTAAATCAACATATGTCAACATAGCCAAATGAAGTTAGCCAGAGCATAAATGAGATAGGAGATGTTATTTCATCTTACCTTTCCGTCGGAGGAACAAACTAGGTTGCAACAGCGAGGCCTTTAAAGATTGAAACTGCTTCGCACTAGTTTATGTAAAAATTTTAAGAACTAAAAAGTAATCCTCTTGAACGGCCGAACAGAAATATCGTACGTTGTTTTAAGTCCCTACTGCTTGTTGGTGAGAGCAGTGAGAGGGAGAGGGAGACAGCAAGGGAGGGAGGGTTGAGGTGGATGGAAGGGTGGAGATAAATGGGAGTGGTGGGTTTATTGGGTGCTGTCAGGGTGGGTAGATGGTGGATGAATGTCTTCCAGGGCAGGACGAAAATAGCATCTAATAGAGAGTGGCATGACGCACAACCTCACCGGGAAAGCTTTCCAATATTATAATATCATATTGGCAATAAATGAAACCCCACTTTGCCAAGTTACATTTCAGGCCTGATTTACGATCTTGCGCAGCTCCCTTTCTGCTCCGTGATCAAACCAGAGCGTTTATCCTGCACACGCTCACTGTATGGTGGTAATAGCTGTACAGTGCGCACGCCTCACACAGGATTACTTTATTTTATGACCCCCTTGTGCTTGCAACTCCAAGGTTTTTATCCAGTCTTTGGCGCACAAGAGCATCGACCTAAAGACCTCCAATGAGCCACGTTATTTACGGAGAATAAGCGTCGACGACACGGAAATGATTTTGCAGATGTCTTTCTTGCACTTTCTTGGACAGAGCAGTCATTGTAGGGTGTCCCAGTATCGCCTGTCCCAAATGATCTGCTTCGTCTCTGCTGTTACGTCGAAACGAACAGTTCCTTGAACAAGACCTTGTCCATGGTTCTGAAATCTCAACACTGAGTAGAAACCTTTGCTTTTCATAAACTTCCATACGAATATTTGCCCTGCAACTTTGACTTAATTTTATATCACCGTGAGTAGACACCCACATATTTTAGCGTATGAACCTTTCTGAATCGTTGTTTGCTTTTGGTGAGAAGCGTTTCTCTCCTGCTTGTGTTTCCTAACTTACCCTGTTAATAAAGCATTTTTGTTGCACTTGGTACTCTAAAACCGCTCATTTTACATCATTTCAGCTTGAAAGACTTCACTGTTTGGGCTATACTAATTATATAAACAGCAGGCTCCCTGATGTATAAGAAGATGCTGACTACTCTCATTGCTGTGAATAAGATAAACGCTTGTTTGAATTGTGACACCTACTCTTATTTACTGTGAGTTGCTGAGAGGCTGCCAGGCAGAGGACAGCTCTAATGAGGTTTCCTACAAATAAGCCTTAGAAACAGTTCCGCATTGTTTTCAATGGAAAGAAAAGAAAAACAGAAAGAAAAAAAGGATATTTAGTCATACTCAGGAGATAATATATCACCTTACTTTAATAGCTTTGCAACTGCATCCCTATGTTGGTGCCATTTTAAGCCTATGCCACAGTTAAAATAAATCAGTAACGGCTTTTGGTTCCCATTTAAAAAGACATTTGACGCCCTCTTGTGACATTCAAAGGCTTTACTCAACCCGACACTGACATAAAAGAATCTGGGCCAGGGAGATAAATTCAAATTAAATGCACACATTCAATGAGTTGAAGTTAGACTGAGCTTCACTAGCAAGTCTGGTTTTAAAAACTGCTGCAAAGTTTTCAACTTGAAATAATTATTGATGTTACTCCGTTTCTCAGTCCGACAGACTCCTACACAGCCCAAGCTATTAATACCTAGAAATCATCAATATTTCTCAAATTGGAACAGATCTCAATGGTCACAAATAAATCTATTACTTAATTTTGGCGTTAATTACTGATGTTACAATATAATCAATTACCTTCAAACCAGAAACCAGCTGGCAATCAAAGATAGTTCATCCACACAACAAGGCAAGTTGCATTAAGGGAATTACAGAGACATTTTTTAAATCCACTAACAGTTACATTGCGTCAGCAGCACAGACTGTGGACCTGGATCAGTCTGTCTGTAGCTATTTAAAGTCAAATGTTGCCACCTTGTGGTCTTTCAGGTTCACAACAGCAGTTCAAAATCACTCTCCTCCTCTCTCAGGTGAACAGTGCCATTCATCGTTTTACAGGGATCTCAGGTCAGGTCTTTGTAGGAGAGTATGCTGTTTTGTTGAAATGTGATATCCTTTTTTGGGGAGCTTGGTACTGTACTGAGAGGAGTAAAACAGAAGAGATGTTGAACGATCAAAAGTAGTTTGCAGTCTTGGTCTTCCCAGTATTGTTTTGGTTTCAGCATCAGTGGCTCTGAAGTTAGTTTGAACTTTAGCTCCAGTACTACACATAGTTATTAAGTCGGTAGCCATTGCTGGAGACAGAGCTAAGTGAGGGAGCTCGATTGTCCCTAAGGGCATCAGGGGGCTTGTACGGTGGGGCGGGAATATAAACATTGTTAAAGGCAGGGGGGACTGATGGTGGTCGACTTCTTTGCACATGGAGGGGGCCTTGTGACCTGGTGCCACAACTGCTCCAGCAGAGCACCAGTCCTCCGCTAAGACTGAGGCAGGCCGAGGCGTAGCCAAGATACACAGCTAGGCCAATTTCATACTTCATCCCACTGGACAGGAAGGGGTTGTAGAAATCCATGATGACATCATTGGTGGTCCAGGACACCGTAACCAGGCAGAGAAGGCCAGCACAGAGAAAACAAACACCCCCACTTAAGGCCAGTGGAGACTTGATCAGGGAGCCACGGGCAAATCGGGTGCACTTCATTCCCATTGCAGAAACCACTGCAGCTAGGACTGAGGTGACACAGGAGAGGACCATGAGTGCCCTGGCAGCCTGATGTGGGGAAGAAAAGACAAAAAATTGACAATGAACAAAAAAGGAAAAAAAAATTTGGAGTACTGAGATCATACATTCCCAGTTCAGAGGAGATTTATCCACAAAAAGTAAGTCACAACAACTGTTTGATTTTGTGGTTTTGGCTGTGGCCACAAGTGAAAGTCATGGAATATAATGACGACTGACTAAATGTAGTTCAACAGAGACACTGGCAGAAAAGACTCATAAAGTCAGGGACGCGAGTGAATCATTTCATACACAACCTGAGTAACATTTTCTGCTATCAACAAGCATGTAACATCATGCTTTATTTGCTACTGGGTCAAAATCACTATGACTTAACTCAGATATCATTTGTTAAGTGCAAGAGTCTCTCATGCTCTTTCTCAGTAATTCAACCATGCAGCTACACAACCCTAAATCCAACACTTCATCTGGATGGTGCTCATTAACATTACTTTTAGACCAAAGCGAAGTGCAACAAACTGACTGTGAAAATAAATAATACTTCTGAATTGTGTGGACTACAAAATACCAAGAGTCTAAATCTCTGCGAAAACCTCTTCAAAACCTTTTCCTACCTTCTGATGGTTAAAATCTGACGTATTTAGTTTAGGATTGATAAAGAAAGGCATCACTTGCTGATATTCTAAAACTGGGAAATCTTTTATCTGGCCTGCACATGATGAATTAAGAGTGAGAGTGAAGTACCTGTAGGTCTTGTGGCAGTGACAGAAGAGATCTGTACACTTCACACTGATAAATGCCAGTGCTGTGCCATACACACTCCATCCACAGGCCCTTCATGAAAGCGGTAGCTGTGATAATGTTGGAGCCCACATAGGCTGTGCTACGCCACTGGGGTAGCACAGTTGCAACCAAAGTTCCTCCAAACCCCAACAGGCCCAAGAAAAAGCCCAGAAGCTGTACTGCCATGCTGGCCATGGTTTCTTCACTCTGATAGATGCTCAATCTACAAAGTAAAAAAAGTTGACCTGTAATCACTGTCGAAAAGCAAAGTACACACAAAGTTCATATTCATTACCGAGCAGGTTCATGGATTTACAGGTCTCATAAGATAAAGGGTAAAAGGGTAAATCAGCTCGTACAGAAAACATTCAAAAGAAACACTCAGAAAACCAAGCTACAGCTCCCCAGACTGCAAATGTGGCCAGACTCCTCCTGTTGTCTGCATGATTCCCTGCAGTATCAAAAATTCCACTGAGTTTACATCCAGTCACAGTTTCTGAGCCGTTCCTCGAGTGTCTCAGGAGTGCAGACAGAAAAAGCTGTGGAAACGTTCAGTTTTCTGGTATCAGTCTCCTGTGAGTGGCAGGTGACTGCATCTGTAACTAATGAGAGCAGTGTTCAGCTTCACCTGTTTAACGCTCTCCTCTGGAGGGCAAAGCACAGCAGTCTATTTGTTAAGCTCTCCAACACCCCTCAGGAAAGGAGCAGGAAGAAATTAAACATTTACAGAAACCACCCAAGCCGAGAGTACTGTTATAAACCACTAACTTTGAACATTTTTCACAGCTCTGCAGGGTATTTCAGAGGGAGGTACCGAGTGGCCTGATGACAGAGCATTTGTAGCTGATGAGCCTACAGCTGGAGAAATATGTGAAAGTAGTTGTTTTTATTGTCATAACTGACCCAGTTGCACCATGTCTAATTTATTCCCTGGTCTGAGATCACCTATTACTTACTCCCAGATAAACATTCACTGATCAGAAACGAAGGCTCTTGGACACATTACAGTTAAGCATTTACTCCTGTTCCTTCTCCAAATGTTCTCCTGAATCATTAAAGGTCAACATTTTAAGCAGGAAGAGTTCAAGTTTAAATAAGCACAATAATGATGTATTTGATGAACTCGAAAAACTGCCTTTCCAGCTGCACCAAAACGAGAGAGTGAAACAATTCAGACCTCCTGAAGATCAATTGTTTAGATTTCCTGAGAGAAAAGAGGTCTTATAAACAGCCTGACTACTGTTTAGTGACAGACGTGGCCCTCTCATAACAGCAGAGATACAGGCCTCATGGTGTTTACTTAATGATTGACTACACTGACAGAAGAAAAGGATGTGAGTGGAAACTTTTAACCCACAAAACAGCAAATCCACTAACAACCCCATCCTTTTTGTCACTTTCCAATTGCAGTTGATACATGATAGAAACAGTACATTGATGTGACGAAAGGTCTCACATTTTTAATTATGGTGAACAAAAATCTCTGCATCTGAGTACTCTCAACTCAACTCAACTCAACTTTATTTGTAGAGCACTTTAAAACAACCACAGCTGTACAAAGTGCTGTACATAACAGGACAAAAACAACAAGATAAAAAACAATCAAGAAACAATTAAAACAATGGATAAAATAAAAGCAGAATTAATAATAAAATATAGCTTCAATGTTTTTAAAAACTAATTTAAAAACATAGAAACAAATAACTAAAAACAAACCATAAAACACTAAAACAGGAGCCCAGTCTCATGCAGGGTTAAAAGCCAATGAATAAAAATGGGTTTTAAGACGAGTTTTAAAAATGGACAGTGTGGGGGCTTCTCTAATTTGGAGGGGTAGCTTGTTCCATAAAATACTCACTGAAATGGTTACATAAGGACTGCTTGGTCATGGTCATCGGTCAGATCACAGGTGTTAGATGAAGAACGTCTGGCTGTAGTTTTTGCTGCAAGATGACCAACTCCTCTGGTTTCTACTGCTGCTGCCTTCACAGACAAGCGACATGCTGCAGGACAGTGAGACTTTTTATTGGTTAGTGTAAGGGATCATCTTCAGCACTGTCACTACCCCTGTCATCATGTCAGGGATAACATGAGAGAAAGTCCCGTCGCTGGCTGTTTTTTTCAGAGGGATAATCAGATCCAAACATGGACCCCGAGGCAGAGAAATGCAGGAAAAAAAACGGAGACTGGCAGAAGAGATGCTGTTCTCACTGGCTGTGCTCTATTCATGTCAATAACTCAGCTCTTTCTGTCTCAGCATCTGTTGATCAATAACAGATGATAGACCTTAAAACTATTCTTAACTTTGAGCAACTTGTTGACAAAACAGATGTTTGTAGGCAGCATTGAAAATTCATCAGCAGAGTTATGACTTGGTAGGAAAGGGATTCTTTTTGAGCCTGGTACTGTTGGTGTGGTACTTACTTTGCTGTAGACCTGATGGTCTGAAGGTTCCTTTGAGGCAAGTCTTCTTCCCTTGCAGTCCCCCTCTCCTTGTGTCCCAAATGTGACCTACCATGATATTCTGCTGGTGGGCACGGCCCTTCCTCTGAGTCCCTTATGTGTTCTCTGTGTATGAGCTCTATGGTGAGGAGCTGATCCTCTCCAAGGTCTGCCTGTGGGAGACGCTACTTGAATGTGTAACCCCTAATAGCCTTACTTAAGCAGAATAATCCTGTGATTAACGGCTGAGTGCAGGCTTGTTGAGTACTGTGCTGTAATCATGATTCAGTATGTTGTACATGTTTGTCATTAGATGTCTTTCAGAAGTCTTCTTTTAAACACCATTTACATTTTTCAGGAAAAATGTAAATGGTGTTTAAAAGAACTTTTCCCAAAATACACACTCTTAGCAGCTTAATTTTTATGGTCCTGTACAGTCCCACAGGTTCAAACCGGGAACTATGTGATACTAAAGACCAAAACCCAAACATGTGAACCACTTAGTGACACTGCATAGGTTACACTCTGAACCAACCATTGCCCATCCCCTCCTCCTTCACACAAGAGTCCTGTGTAGCCTTAATTTAACACTGGGAAAACTATTTGGTCCAATTAATATTACAGTAAAGATATAAGTATATGGGGGACAGACACCCTCTCTACCTTTAAAAGTAGGCTTAAAACGTTCCTCTTTCATAAAGCTGATAGTTGGAGCTGCTTCAGGTCTTCAGGTAGTTATACCGCTACAGATATCAGATTTGGGCTGCCAGGGTAGAGCACCTTTCCCTCCTTTTTCATCCTCTTTGTGTCTGTGTCATTAACTCTGAATTCTCATGTACCATTAGAGTCACTGATACACAGTCTTTACTAGGAGTCCCTGGGCTCCATCATGCTTTTAGTTCATCTGGATCGCTGCTGCAGATGTGTTACTGCTGTGGACCTGTCTGCTTTACAGCTGCTTCAAAACAGGCATCAGTCTCTCGTCTGTCCATCTCTCTCTTTCTTCATCTCCCTCTATCAGTCTCTCTATCTTATTTATCATGCCCCATAGGTAGTTGTCTTCCAATAACTGAAGTGAGGGCTGAGCAAAGGGATGTTTTAGCCTGGAATCTTAACTGCCAGACATGTTTACAGTACTAATAAATAATCCCATTTATCCGTACTTTCCCTAACTGTAGCATTCACACAGTCACAATACTGTGGACCAGTTGGACTTTCAATGGGGCCTGGTGTAATCTAAACCACTTAGACTTTAAAAGGTACCGCTTAGGCCTACATCTGTAACTCTCCATATTGATTTTTTCCTGAGCAATCACGCTTTATAAATATCAGTCTGACCCTGATCAGTTTCTCTGACACTGTCTTTTACAAAACGTGCAAAAACGCTTTAAAAACGCGATACAAAGGGGACTGCGGTGAGTTTGGTTATCTGTTGATTTCGCGCCATCGTATGACAGGAGCCTTAAAGAAAGCTAGCTAACAGAAAGAGCTGACAGTCATTTCTGCACTGAAACTTTTCCAGGAGAAATACAGGGGTTTTCAGGTTTGCCCATATTCTTCATTTCTAAATGGGAGTGAATGTATATTTGAACATAAAGGCGGATAACGTCAGGTTTGAACCAATAAGGAGTTCAATTCAAAGTTATTTTGGCAAGTTTAGCCTATAGTTCGCTCCGAAAGTTCCTGTAACTTGATAATAAGTTTTGTCCTCTCAGTGGCTGCGGGCTTTTCAGTGGAACGCAGAGGAGGGCGAGGAACGTGCCAGTTTCTTCGCTGAAGTCCCGACGTCTCCAGCGGACTGAACCCCAGAGCCAGTGCAGCACCTGCACCTTTTTTCACCGGCTCCCATCACAGGTGTTTGACATGATCCTGGATAATCTGTCAGGTAGGTCACGAGCTGGAATAGTCAACCCTGAAGTAAGAATAAATAAGTAAGGATGGGGTCTGATAAAAGTCCTGACATTTTGGGCTGTGTACTTTTTGTAGGTTTCACTATACAATTGATATTTTAGTAAACTGGACGTTTATTCATCAGTACAGTCACACAGTTTATTACAGTTTTAAAATGATAAACACTGCTGTTCCAGAAATCAAGCAGTGTATTTTTTCTCAGCATTTGTGTCAAAGAATTATATCCACAAAGTTATTGTGAAAATGTTTGTTTCTCAGTGGTGGAGATCAGCGTGTTGAGCATAATTTCCAAAGATATGACAGGACATGTTGTGGACTACATCTCCACTGTGGTCTAGAAAAAGAAAAAGCTCATTCAGAACTTTAACTCCTCCACCAGCCTTGAGCGGAAATCCACTGTTACACATTACAGAGACCTGGGTAAGTGGCAGCTCATATTTTATGATGCGTTTCATTTGTTAAATTGTTGTCCCAGTACTTAAGCACAGGGTTAGATCATGACTATCAGCCTGATGATCTATAGCAGTGGTAGCTTGAACATTATATTGAACTGATATCACAAAGTTCCAGAAACAAGATGTTCAGTTGGGTTGAGAGATATTACAGAAAAACACGTACATTTGATAATAACCTGCTTATTGTCTGACACCTCAGGTTTGTTGTTCAAACGGTGTACCCTGTTTTTACCGACAAAGGAAAGGTTGAAGTTCACCTTTAACACATTTTCACAGGTAAGAAAGAGTGAAGAGAGGACAGGCATGAACAAACCGTTAAGTTATAAATATCAGATTTTCGTGTAACAAAAGCTGGGTTGTTTCAAATTGAAGCTTTGTTTATTTAGCAAGTCTTATGCAATATTATTTTCTTTGTCTTGTTCACGTTAATTTCAAGATACGAAGATGCTGCAGAGTGCTTGCTACTGTGTCATGAACTGAGAAAACATGATCACATTAGGCTAAACAATTTTTTAATTTTTTTAATTAATTGATTTGCACAATTATACAGGCAGGAAAAACAGCATAAATACAACAAAACAGATGTGCAGGCAAGATTAAAGAAACCTGGAGGGGTTTATAAAGGAAATCTCACCTCATACAAACAAGACATGGAAAACCACAACAAAAGTATAAAATCAAGGAAGAGTGTGTGCGAGTGTGTCCATAGGGGTGTCTAGCAACCATGGAAATGTGCTACTGTAGGCTATACATATTCCAAAGCATACTTTTGTTTGGCCAAATCCCTATAATGGAAGGAGAACGGACAGTTGCTGTCAGGTATGAGTTTGGTTCATCAGATATGACTGGAGCCTTTGATTGAAATTCTGCATAAGTCAGGTCCGTCACACCGACAAGGCGTTCCCAAGCACAATTTGGTATTTTGGTGAGCGGCGCAGCCTGGCGTAAGTATCCCCCCTCCCTAACTCAGCTCCTCCCAGCGGCGTAAGTCGTAGCGAGGGAGGAGAGAGGGCGTGGACCAGGTTTAACACAGCCGTTCCCTGTATTGACCAATAAAATCAGCTCCTCTCCTTGCCTTTAAATCCGCCACCGGCGAGGCGTATTACAATTTTCATGAAGTAGTCAAAGAGATCAAGAGATGTCTGAAGACAGTAATGCAACATGATGGTGACAGAAGGCAGCTCCTCAACAAGTGTCTCTGTAAGCGCTGCAGAGGGCGTCCTCCACACTCTCTCATATAAGCACAGATGGATTTGGTGTGTGTAATGTTGGACCCACTGGTAAGACAAACATCCTTTCCACAATTAAAGATACTCGCATAAAGTTGCACATATTCAAACCTCACGTGACAAAGGTGGGTTGTGTGCAAAGATCACATCATAAACTCCAATAATGGCATTAAAATCTGAACCATCTGTGCGTAAATGACGCATCGCGCTCCGTGGCCTGGCTCTTTCTTTTATAGATGTTGGCATATAAAATAAATTTGGCTCACAAAACTGAATATTATAATATCTGTATGTCGGCTTAAAGTAAATAACTCATCTGATCACTGAAACAAATCATCTGTTCAGCCGCTGCAGCTGCAGCAGGACGGAGAGAGGACACAGAGACATGTCCAGGTCCAGCTTCGCGAGAAATAAGAGGAAGAGGAAGAAAGAAAAGGAGGGAGACGAATTAAATATCTTGTTAACTTCATCATGTGTGTCTATTTGCTAGATATTTAATGTAATTTAATGCGGTTTCAGCTGTGTTGATTCGGTCAGGTTGTGTGTCCAAACGCGTGCCAAACGCGCACATCAGATCAGATTAGATCAGAATATATCTATATAGATCTAAATGTATGTGCTGACTCAGATTATTAGTTGTTGTGGTTATTTATTGCACTGAAATGTGCCTGACACTGTGGATACCTGCCTGTGAGACATCGGTGACATATATGCTGATACGCCGCCGGTCTACCAAAATACCACTAGACCAGCTGCGCTCCGCCTGCGCTGAAAGCTGACCAGGTTTGAATCCGCGAGCTTTCAGCGCACTTAACAAGCCACTGGCGAGAACGAAAATGTCACTGCGCCCGCTGATTCTGTCAACACCCCCCCCTGCCACGCCACCACGCCCAGCTTGGCGGATCTCAGTTCGCCTCCGTGCGCCTCAGTCCACGAATATCCAAACTGGCTTTACGCTGGGCTCCGCCAGACGAAAATACAACTGCGCGGGGTCCGCCACCCTCCGCCGCCTCACCAGCGTATGCGAAAATAGAGCCAAGGGCTCACTTTCAAACTAAGTTCCTTTACAAGCTTCTCAATCAAGAGTTTGCAAATTAGAAGTAGCATGACCTGAAACATAGGAAAGGAAGTTGGCAAAAAAACTCTCCATGGAAAAGAAAAAGACTGCTGAGGAAAGTGGAGTATCACAGCCCTCTGTAGTTCAGTCAGAGGGTGAAGACAGATATGTTGAATTTGGTTGATGGTTCACGACTGCCTTATTTTGTCCTGTTGAAATAGAGCTGTGAAATGACTTGATCCAAACACAATGTCTATCTTTGCAAACATTGTATTCAAAGTTTAAAAATGTTCCCTAAAAACATTAGTAGGACTGATGTTTATTTTTGTTGCTGGTCTTTGTAGTTCCAGTCCTGATGTGATGATGTTTTTTTTAAGGATTTCTTGAATTGGTTCTTAAACTGTCTTCTGTGTGTGAAGTGTTTGTGGTGACATTTTTTGCTGTTTTTCTCATGACAACAACAACAACAACAACAACAACAAAAACAGCGTACTTAGTGAACAAACCTTTATTATCTTGGGGAGGTCAAACATTCAGCCTTCAACAATATTAAAAAATGGTAAGTTGCTTAAATTAATTCAATCGATTTTTGTCACAGAATAAAAAAAGAAGCAATTTTGAATAGAGTACTGGTTATTTATATAGAAACAGTATTAAGGACATTTTAACTGACAATTATAAAGGTTATAATCATACAGCATATTGTGTAGACTGCATTTAGGCTATTTCATATCAAAGTTTAAGGCCTACAACATCAATTGTGATGAATATCAGGTTGGTGAATGAGATCCGTTGCTGGCGGCCACGTCGACTGACTATGGTGAGAGGCATTTCAGTTATTCAAGTTTTCATTGTTTTGACATGATCTGTCAGGAGACAAAGGCAAAAATAATCATTGAACCTAAAGATTCAGTGTGTGAACACAAATACAAGGAGAAAAAAGAAATGAATTTACAAACAAATCACAAAAAAATTGGGAACATCACAAAGATTTACACTCAGACTGGATGACGGGAAATCAAAATTAGGTGTTATATTTCACAAGAAAGCTCCATGTGAATGGGATTTGTATCTGTACGTGTCATTGAGGGATCATAGAATATGTCAATGTAGTTTTAACTTCAGCCACTAAGAACTGCTGCTTTTGAAAGTTATCCATCAGCCTCTCGTTGTTTCAGTCCCATCCAGAGAGACATGAAAATACAAACTACCATGGCTATCACCTTACACACTAACACAGCATAGCATTTTGATACTTACTGTGCAATTTGCTCTACGGACAGAAAGAGAGAAACATTTGAGGTTTTAATAGAATTTTTTTGCACAATTCTCTGTCCCTGTTTTATTTTTCCGTCCAAAATGATGATTTCTTTACTCACCTTGTAGCCAGTCCAGTCCTTCCTGTAGACCCTCTCCATTGATGGCGTTGCTTGGGCTAAAACATTGAAATGTAAAGGAGTTAGTCTCCCTCAAGCATGTATTCACTTTCTGATGACTTTCCTCAGATCACAGGTGTTACAAGCTGTCCACCTTTAATCCTCCATCTGTTTAATGAGTGTGTGGGGTGAAAAACACATCTATGAAAGAGCCAGGCTCTTGAGTGAGTGTGTCGCTCTGCCTTCTGATAATGTCTACCCACAGGCAGAGAGAAGTTCATATCAGACATTGACAAGAAACCCATGAGTAACCAGTGATACTTCAGTCTCTTAAAGACTTTAAGTTGTAACCATGGAAACACATGATGGTATTGGTGGGAAAAGATGAGGAGTGTGTAGATAAAAAAAACATTTGAATGTTTTACCAGATGTGCCAGGGTTTATCCTTGATGTTCTCCAAACACAGCATCTGTGTGACCTTCACTGAAGACATGGCATCCTTCAGATCCATCTTGTTAGCAAAAAACAGCACCGGTATCCTTTTGCAGCAAATATCTAGAAAATAAACCAGAATAATCTGCATGAAGCTGGTTAGAGACAGCAGCTTTTATTATGCAGTATCTATTTTGTTACATCTGTAGGGATTAGTCTAGATGGATGCAACTATCAAAGTGTACATGGTATTAATCGAATCAAATAAAAACAGACTCTAATTTTTTTACCTTCGTGGTTGAGAAGATTATCTAGTTCTTCTTTGGCAACAACCATTCTCAGTTTGTCACTGCTGTCGATGACAAATATGATGGCGTGGCTTTCTCTGAAGAAAACACGAGGAGAGGTCCTAATCAATATTAAGTCATATAATTTTATTTTACTTTTATGAAATAGGCATGTGGTGTGTTTCATACTTGAAGTAATGCTCCCATAGGTTTCTGTATCTGCCCTGCCCAGACATATCAAAGACTGTGAAGGACAAGCTGCAAGCAGAGGAAGGGAGGGAGACAGAGAGAGAGAGACGTTAGGGGTTATTGAAATGCAAAAGGGTAAATAATTCATGTATACACCTTTTGAATGGTGAAGGAATTCTACCTGGAACTCTTGAACTTTTCAATGTTGAAGCCAATTGTCGGAACTATTTCCTGAGATGGAGTCTGCATGCACCCACATTCACACACACACAATTTGCATACAGACAGAGATACACACATACAGGCAAGTAACAGCAAGAGTATGTCAAATTGGAAATAGTATAAGGAAGTATGACAGGAGTTTTACCTGACTAACATGTTTCCACTCTGCTGACAATGGGCCTAAATGATTGGACTTCTGAAAACAAACAACCGGTGAATGATTGAGTTAAGATGTTTCAAATAGGACCTTTCACAGTATTCATTCCCAATGATCATGGAATAAACAACTCTTCAAATTTAGCCTCTGTCCACACATGCTAAGCACACCAGTCCCCCAAATACACAACAGTCTGCAGTCATTTCATTCACTTACATTCGCAGGTTTGAGTTGGTTGATGATGGTGGTTTTGCCGCTGTTGTCCAGTCCCAAACACAAAACATTGACCTCTTTCTTCTTCAGGCCAAGCCAGCCTGACAGTTTGTCTAACAGACCCATTTGCCTTGATGACGTTAAACCATGAAATTTTCAGGCATCACCCCATAGATAACCTGCCTGCTGGGAGTTAAATGAAACCCTTTCAAATCATTGAACACTTATGATAAACACAGACATGGAGAGAGTGCTCTCAGCTCTTGCTGTGAATAGTGTCACAAGCTGGGATGCCGCCTGGGCATCCCAGCTTGTGACAGGTAATCCTATTAGGGTGAATTAAGCTATGTGAACCATCCGGCGACCTGAGCATGGAGTATGGTACTTTCTAGGTTCCTCATCCCACTGTATTTGATGTACAACTCAGACACCCTACAGTAACTCAGCTCACTTTTCTGCAATTCCAGCTACCACAAATCTGTTGTGCCTGTATGAATCACAGTAATTCAAGCAATCTGTGACGAAAGGGTTGTCCTTAAATGACAGATAATAATTGACATGTTCACACAACAGTCAATAAAATAGTAGCAGGGGGGCACACATTTTGGATCTCTGTGAACAAGGATATATGGACATATTTCATATCATTAAAATATAACTTTAATGGACACAGTGCTTTAAAGAAGAAACAAGGCAGACTATAAAAGGGAAAAAGCCATGAACCCATTCTGAGAATTGATCACTTTTTCTCCATGATTTTGGGAATCCAATTGGAACTTCTCACATGGAAGATTTGCAGCTGGTCAGTGGTCAAACAGCTCCACCTTTTGGTTATTAAGCATGTCTACGTCTTCACCATTGTTCCCAAGTGGAGACAGAGGGTATAGTCATCATGAAATGACTAAAACAGTTTTAAGTTAAACCTTCTACTGTTCGACTGCAGCAAAAGAGCATACTGGACCTAGTTGAGGAAGTGAAGGCTCTGCGGCTCCTGAATGCCGAAAAAGATAAGAGAATCACCTATCTGGAAGGCAGAGTCGCAGACCTGGAGCAGTACACGCAGGTCAATGACGTGATCATCACCGGGCTCAAAATAAAGCCTCGGTCATACGCGCGAGCGGTGACCAAGGATGGCGGAGAAGAGCCCGGTGAGCCAGATGCTGACTCAGCAGAGCAACAGGTAGCTGACTTCTTAAAGTCCAAGGGAGTCGAGTTGGACTGTAAGTACATAGAGGCATGCCACCCTCTGCACAGGAGGAACGGACCAGCCGTAATACTGTGATTTACCAACAGAAAACACAAGAGCGCACTTCTTAAGCAGGGCAAGAAGCTAAGGGGAACAGATGTTTTCCTTAACGAGCACCTAGCCAAACACAATGCTGATATAGCCAGAAAAGCACGTCAACTCAAGAAACAGAGGAAAATACAAAACACATGGACTTCAAACTGTAAAATATTCATCAAATTAAATGGGACCCAGGAGGAAGCCAAGGTGATCTGCATCAGGAACATCACTGAACTGGACAAATACCAATAACTGCCATGAACGGGATTATATCCACTGGACCAACGATCACCATGAGCCGGACTGAGCTAAGTGAACTGCACTGGACACTGGAGGTAACAAACACAATACAACTATGACCAACAATGGCACAGCTCACTCTACTCACGGGGAACATAGCCGCATAATTCAGAGGATTAATGAACATCAACAACTGGAGCTGGAAGACATCAAACACACTGATTACAATGAGATGGATTTGGAATAGGATATTGATCCGGATAACAACTTTTTCTCTGCCATAAGGAACAATTGCTGCTACTACACAGAAGATCACTACAACCTGGACATTAATTCGGAGGGCAAACTATCACTTACTCATTTCAACAGTAGAAGCTTATATGCAAATTTCACTAAGATTAAGAGCTATTTAAATTAATTTCATAATCCATTCAATATAATAGCAATATCTGAAACATGGATTGACACTGACAAGGGTACTAACTTTGAATTAGATGGCTGTGAGCTCAGATATAACAACAGGAGGAATAAGGGTGGTGGAGGAGTGGCTATATAGATTGATAAATCCTTAGATTTCAGGGTGTTGGATGGATCGACAGCTGTGATTGACAATTTACTTGAATGCCTAACAATTGAAGTATACATGGAAAAAACAAAAATGTTATTGTTAGCTGTATTTATCGAACACCAGGGTCAAGTATCGGCACATTCAGTAAGTGGATGGAAAGTACATTTTCAAATTTAGGCAATAAAACTATGTTCGTGTGTGGGGATTTTAATATAGACCTATTAAATCCCAACAAACACAATACTACAGATGAATGTATTAATACAATACATAGTATGAGCCTATTTCCAAGAATCACTAGACCCAGCTGGATTACGACTCATTCTGCCACTCTCATTGATAATATTTTCACCAATGACATTGAGAATAACACAATAAGCGGATTGTTAATCAATGACACAAGTGACCACTTGCCAGTGTTTACAGTTCTTGACGTCAGTCACAGAAAAAAGCCAAACAAGAAAACTGTATACAGTAGAGTAAGAACAGAAGAATCTATCAACACACTAAAAAATGACCTGCTGCAGTACAACTGGGAGATAATATACAGGGAAAAGGATGTTGACCTTGCATATAACAAGTTTCGAGGAATATTTTCTTCATTATATAATAAGCACTGTCCAATTAAGAAATATAACAGAAAACTAGCGTATGCCAGTTGCCCATGGATTACAAAAGGTCTACAAAATGCCTGTAAAAAGAAAAATCCACTTTATAGAGATTTCATAAGTCAAAGAACTAAAGAGGCAGAATATAAATATAAAAAATATAAAAACAAGTTAACTGATATTATAAGGGCAAGTAAGAAAAATTACTATAAGATGATGTTAGACGAAAATAAAAATAACATTAAAGGAATATGGAACATTCTAAACAATATTATACGGAATGGATCCAAGCACAATAGTTTACTTAAGTATTTCATTAATAAGGATATTGAAAATTATAACATGAAAGACGTGGCAAATAGTTTTAATGAGTTCTTTGTAAGTGTAGGGCCTGATCATGCTAGCGAAATCCCTGATTCAGGTACATATACAGAACAGTTACCAGAGAGAAATCCTTGCTTGTTGTTTCTACACGTTGTAGAAGAACATAAAATCTTGAATATTGTAAAGAAATGTAAAAACAAACAGTCCACTGACTTCAATGACATCAATATGTCGCTGGTAAAACAGGTCATTGGGGGCATCTCTAGGCCTTTAACATACATCTGCAATTTATCATTTTAAACCGGTTCATTTCCAAATAAAATAAAAATAGCTAAGGTCATACCTCTGTTCAAGGCTGGCAACAAGCATCATTTCACAAACTACAGACCGGTCTCCTTGCTACCACAATTTGCAAAAATATTAGAAAAACTCTTTAACAACAGATTGGACGCCGTTGTCGTCGTCGTCATTTTCTTCCGCTTCATCCGGGTACGGGTCGCGGGGGCAGCAGCTTTAGGAGGGAAGCCCAGACGGCCCTCACCCCAGCCACTTCCACCAGCTCCTCCGGGGGGATTCCCAGGCGCTCCCAGGCCAGGCGAGAGATGTAATCCCTCCACCTGGTCCTGAGCCTTCCACGAGGTCTCCTCCCGGTGGGACATGTCTGGAACATCTCTAACGGGAGGCGTCCAGAAGGCGTCCTAACCAGATGCCCGAGCCACCTCAGCTGACTCCTCTCGATGTGGAGGAGCAGCAGTTCTACTCTGAGCGCCTCCCGAGTGTCCGAGCTCCTTACCCTATCTCTAAGGCTGAGCCCGGCCACCCTGCGAAGGAAACCCATTTCGGCCGCTTGTATCCGCGATCTTGTTCTTTCGGTCATTACCCACAGTTCATGGCCATAGGTGAGAGTTGGCACGTAGATCGACCGGTAAACCGAGAGTTTCTCCTTACGGCTCAGCTCTTCCTTCACCACGACTGATTGGTTAAACGTCCGCATCACTGCTGACGCCGCTCCGATCCGCCTGTTGATTTCCCGTTCCATCCTACCCTCACTCTTAAACAAGATCCCGAGATACTTGAACTCCTCCACTTGAGGCAGGACCGCTCCTCTGACCTGGAGAAGGCGATCTACCTTTTTCCGACTGAGGACCATGGCCTCGGATTGGACGCATTCTTAGAAAAACGCAAAATACTTGCAGAGAATCAGTATGGGTTTAGGTTGAACAGATCAACATCATTGGCAATAATAGAGGCAATGGAAGAAATCACAAATGCAATAGATCGTAAACATTATGCTGTTGGAGTATTCATTGATTTGAAAAAAGCTTTTTATACAATCAACCATGAAATATTAATCAAGAAACTAGAAAATTATGGCATTAGGGGAATAGTGCTGGATTGGGTGAAAAGCTATTTAAGGGGAAGACAGCAATTTGTGAAGCTGGATGATTGTGTTTCTTCGTGTTTGGACATTGCTTGTGGTGTCCCCCAGTGGTCAGTATTGGGCCCCAAGTTCTTCATTTTATACATTAATAATGATATCTGGAAAGTTAGTAAGGTTCTGCATTTTGTGTTGTTTGCAGATGACACAACTATTTTCTGTTCTGGAGAAAACTTACAAAAACTACAGGAGGACATCACTACAGAAATGAACAAACTTAAAGAATGGTTCGACATAAACAGACTATCATTAAATCTGAATAAGACTAAACTAATGCTTTTTGGCAATTGCACACTAAACACACAGGTAGAAATAAAAATAGAGGAAATCGAAATAGAAAGGGTCCATGAAATTAACTGGAAATCACATATCAAACACGTACAAAATAAAGCATCAAGAAGCATTGCATTAATTAACAAAGTAAAAAAGGTCTTGGATCAGAAATCACCTCACACTCTGTACTGTTCTCTAGTCTCACCATACTTGCAATACTGTGCTGAGGTTTGGGGTAACAACTACAAAACATCACTACAGCCACTAATCATCCTTCAGAAAAGAGCAATAAGGATTATTCGCAATGTTGGCTATCTGGAACACACTAATGCATTATTTCTACAGTCCAAATTACTAAAATTTGCAGACCTTGTGAATTATCAAACTGCACAAATAATGTTCAAAGCTAAAAATAACTTATTACCGAGAAATATACAAAAATTATTCAGTATTCATGTGGGCACCTACAATCTAAGGGGAACAATGAACTTCAACTTAACTTTAATACGTACCACCAGGAAAATCTTTTGTGTTTCAGTCAGAGGGGTGAGGTTATGGAACGGGTTCACTAGGGAGTTAAAGCAATGTCCAACAAGATACAAAGACACTATTTTCACAAGGTATAGGGATGAGGGAGGTGTTGGGTAGATACATGGGCTACTATGATTTTGTTTTCTGTTCATTTATTTATTTATTCTCTTTCTTTTTATTCTTGTTTCTTTTGTATGTGTGTGTGTGTGTGTGCATGTAGTTACAGTAGGTGAGGAGGGTGCTGAATGTTTGTGTTCATAGGTAGGTGTTATAGGTAGGTGTAAATGTATGGTGTATATGTATGTGTGTGTATGTATATGTGTATGTATGTATGTGTGTATATTTTTATATATATATATATATATATATATATATACACTCACCGGCCACTTTATTAGGTACACCTGTCCAACTGCTCGTTAACACTTAATTTCTAATCAGCCAATCACATGGCGGCAACTTAGTGCATTTAGGCATGTAGACATTGTCAAGACAATCTCCTGCGGTTCAAACCGAGCATCAGTATGGGGAAGAAAGGTGATTTGAGTGACTTTGAACGTGGCATGGTTGTTGGTGCCAGAAGGGCTGGTCTGAGTATTTCAGAAACTGCTGATCTACTGGGATTTTCACGCACAACCATCTCTAGGGTTTACAGAGAATGGTCCGAAAAAGAAAAAATATCCAGTGAGCGGCAGTTCTGTGGGCGGAAATGCCTTGTTGATGCCAGAGGTCAGAGGAGAATGGCCAGACTGGTTCGAGCTGATAGAAAGGCAACAGTGACTCAAATAACCACCCGTTACAACCAAGGTAGGCAGAAGAGCATCTCTGAACGCACAGTACGTCGAACTTTGAGGCAGATGGGCTACAGCAGCAGAAGACCACGCCGGGTGCCACTCCTTTCAGCTAAGAACAGGAAACTGAGGCTACAATTTGCACAAGCTCATCGAAATTGGACAATAGAAGATTGGAAAAACGTTGCCTGGTCTGATGAGTCTCGATTTCTGCTGCGACATTC